TCCCTGAGTAACAATTCTGTGTCCCCTCAGTAACAATTCTGTGTCCCCCTCAGTAACAATTCTGTGTCTGTCCCTGAGTAACAGTTCTGTGTCTGTGTCCCTGAGTAACAATTCTGTGTCCCTGAGTAACAATTCTGTGTCCCTGAGTAACAATTCTGTGTCCCTGAGTAACAATTCTGTGTCTGTCCCTGAGTAACAATTCTGTGTCCCTCAGTAACAATTCTGTGTCCCTCAGTAACAATTCTGTGTCTGTCCCTGAGTAACAATTCTGTGTCCCTCAGTAACAATTCTGTGTCCCTCAGTAACAATTCTGTGTCTGTGTCCCTGAGTAACAGTTCTGTGTCCCTGAGTAACAATTCTGTGTCCCTGAGTAACAATTCTGTGTCCCTGAGTAACAATTCTGTGTCCCTGAGTAACTTCTGTGTCCCTGAGTAACAATTCTGTGTCCCTGAGTAACAATTCTGTGTCCCTGAGTAACAATTCTGTGTCCCTGAGTAACAATTCTGTGTCTGTCCCTCAGTAACAATTCTGTGTCCCCTCAGTAACAATTCTGTGTCCCTCAGTAACAATTCTGTGTCTGTCCCTGAGTAACAATTCTGTGTCCCTCAGTAACAATTCTGTGTCCCTCAGTAACAATTCTGTGTCTGTCCCTGAGTAACAATTCTGTGTCCCTGAGTAACAGTTCTGTGTCCCTGAGTAACAATTCTGTGTCCCTGAGTAACAATTTCTGTGTCCCTGAGTAACAATTCTGTGTCCCTGAGTAACAATTCTGTGTCCCTCCAATTCTGTGTCCCTGAGTAACAATTCTGTGTCTGTCCCTGAGTAACAATTCTGTGTCCCTCAGTAACAATTCTGTGTCCCTCAGTAACAATTCTGTGTCTGTCCCTGAGTAACAATTCTGTGTCCCTGAGTAACAGTTCTGTGTCCCTGTAACAGTTCTGTGTCCCTGAGTAACAATTCTGTGTCCCTGAGTAACAATTCTGTGTCCCTCAGTAACAATTCTGTGTCCCTCAGTAACAATTCTGTGTCTGTCCCTGAGTAACAATTCTGTGTCCCTCAGTAACAATTCTGTGTCCCTCAGTAACAATTCTGTGTCTGTCCCTGAGTAACAATTCTGTGTCCCTGAGTAACAGTTCTGTGTCCCTGAGTAACAATTCTGTGTCCCTGAGTAACAATTCTGTGTCCCTGTCCCTGAGTAAACAATTCTGTGTCTGTCCCTGAGTAACAATTCTGTGTCCCTCAGTAACAATTCTGTGTCCCTCAGTAACAATTCTGTGTCTGTCCCTGAGTAACAATTCTGTGTCCCTCAGTAACAATTCTGTGTCCCTCAGTAACAATTCTGTGTCTGTCCCTGAGTAACAATTCTGTGTCCCTGAGTAACAATTCTGTGTCCCTGAGTAACAATTCTGTGTCCCTGAGTAACAATTCTGTGTCCCTCAGTAACAATTCTGTGTCCCTCAGTAACAATTCTGTGTCCCTCAGTAACAATTCTGTGTCTGTCCCTGAGTAACAATTCTGTGTCCCTGAGTAACAGTTCTGTGTCCCTGAGTAACAATTCTGTGTCCCTGAGTAACAATTCTGTGTCCTAAAGTAACGATTCTGTGGCCCTAAAGTCTCTTTGGCCCTAACTCTGTCCCTAATACAGAGAGGTCTGTCTCTCTTGAATGACCGGAGGCTAATGGAGAATTCTAAGATGGCTGCAATTTATAGCTCGACCATTACACAGTGCTGGCTGGCTGGCTGGCTGATTGGCTAATGCGATCACATGTCATGAATGAATGCATTATGGGTCAGCGCGCCTTGTCTGCGCGTCTTCCCAGAGATCCCCGCTCCGTCGCCACACATGTCGCCTCCATTTTTGGAATTTTTCGGATTCGGCGCGAATCTAATTTTTCCTAATCTTCGAAACGAATTCCACTTCGCCAAGTTCGATTCGCTCATCTCTAGTTACTGATCTCTAAAGTTTTTTGACAAACTAATTTTTGTATTTTCTCTCCAATTTCAGATCCTAACAGTTTAGAAGGATCTCGTAAACTAAAGCCAGGTGACTAAGTGAATTGTTAACATACGGTATACAAGGAAATGTTTGGAGACACAATACAGTGTTTATTTCATGTACAGTATACAAAACGTGAAGAAAAATTCACCTGGATCCACACCAGAAACCAGTGAAAAAAATGACTAAATGATAGTATCTCTGAGTTTGATTTGTTTTCCTTTAGGAATGACATTCTGGGAGACCATTTATTCAAATGCTTTCATTGTAAGGTTTAAATATGTATATTTAATGTGATTTGAAAAGTAGTTCAGCCATGTTGTCATATTGTCTTTTATGTCTTCCATGTTATGTAGAATTGTCTGTATTTAACTAATGCATGCTAATAAGTCAGCATGTCCACAATTAAGCTAAAATGCTTCTGGCCATAGGATCTGAGTGTACAGCCAATTACTCTATAAATATATTTTTTTATTGCGCTCACTGTGCACATAGTACTAATAATGTTTTGAATACATGTTTGTATTCTTTCTGGTCCTGATTAGAAATTAGCCTATATAAGTGTAATGCCCTCGTTACCATAAAAGTACAATTATTATTATTATACAGTATTTATAAAGTGCCGATAGTTCGCTCAGCGCTGTACATTACAAAGGGGGACATAACATGTGACAGAACAATACCAATACAATGCAAAACATGAGGGGATTGAGGGCCCTGCTCTTTCGAGCTTACAATAGTAATATCAATGTGATACCTACGTAATCATGTGTTTAAAAAACTAAAAATGCACCAAATAAACATGGCGCTATCTGCTTGGAGTTTGCATGTTCTCCCTGTGCCTGTGTGGGTTTCTTTCCACACTCCAAAGACATGCTGGTAGGTTAATTGGCTCCTGTCTAAATTGGCTCTAGTATGTGTATGTATGAATGTGAGTTAGGGACCTTAGATTGTACTAACCTTGAGGGTTACGGACTGATGTGAATGTACAATATATATGTAAAGTACTGCGTAAAATTGACGTGCTATATATGTACCTGTAATAAATAAATAATAAAATATACAGAACAGTTATTTGAAAAGATGCGGAGTGTATCTTTTTGTGTCTGTTCTCTACTGCAGTAGTTAGTATTAATTTGGAACCGCTAATCAATATGAGGATAGGAGGTGCCTATCCTTAAACTTTCCCGAACAAGGCACACCACTAGTCAGTGACCAAATGATAATCTGGTTTCACACAGGCTGTAGACATTTCAGACTTTTACCATATTAAAAAGTGACGCTCTTTCACACCATTGGTGCCCAGAAGGTGATGTAGGTGGTGGCTTGGGATTTTTTTTTTTTCGTGCTGGGTCATTCCTCCGTGTCAAAAATTCTGAAGATTAAAACTTGGTGAGTAAACCTCACACTTCTATTCTGAAATCTCCACGTCTGGTATAACTGAATGCCACAGAGGTCTATCATAGTAACTCAAGCAGGGTATTCTGAAATAACTTCAAACTTCAGTTTCTATTGTCAGTCTGAAACATGGTTTGTTACAGTGTTTGAAGGTTGGTTAAATCACAGGAATTGTAGATTTATGAATATTCAATCATCTCTAATGTATATCATTAAATGCTCTTCATAAACACATCCACATTTTTTTAATTAAAAAGTACCTATGACTTGGGAGTGTAGTTTGCCTATAGCTGTGTTCACAAATGTGAAGAAGCTTCTGCACCTGACCAAGAAACACCAGTGATATCTATGCATCCAGCCCCTATTTTCTACCTGTGATAAGATGCAGAGGCATGCGAAGCTCAGAGGACATTGGGATACAACTTGCCTTGGTCCCCCCAAACCGGAATAGGGACTTTTTTTTGTTGCACCAGAGAATGAGCAGACAAACCACACACAGCCAAGATGGTGCTACGGGACACAGGTCTTTTCTTAACCTGCTCCTGTGAACAGGGCTGAATTTGATCTCTCCCAAGCAAAATTGTACATTTCATTTGGCAAGGGCGTAGACTGCAGCTGCCGGACCCAGTCCTGTACTGCCATAGACTACAAGGTGGCCTTGCAGTACCGCATTTAAAGCACTTTTATACTGTGTCTCACATTGCCCCCTGGTTTCTCTTCACACTACCTCTGAAATGTCAATCTGGGTTCACTTTGCAATCACAGAATACTCCCATTTTCCGGTCTATAATCTTCTCTGGACTCCTCCCAGTTACAGGTCCAGGATTCTTGACCCTATTCTGTTGCATTCCCTTTGTGTATGGGACCCCTTAAATACTTCTGTGGACTGCTTTCCTCTCTCCTACTCCTTTCCAGTATCCTAGACACTCCGCAGTTCTGTCCCGCATATGAATATCAGCTGGCTTTCGGATGGTGGCTCAAAAGAGGAATTAGATATGTCTATGAACTCCTCACCCTGGATGGGGTCGAGTTCTTCCAATACCTGCAGGGGCATTGGCAACTGCCAGTCAATGAGTTATACTGGTATATCTAACTTAACTATCATGTTAGTAACTTGCTCCGTTGCCACGAAGGACCACCTAAACCCTTAACTCCATTTGAAAATCGTTGCTGAAAAGACCTCTACTTGAAAGGCCTTGTCTTGGATCTCTACGCCTCTTTGACCAACTTGATGGGCTTCAGCTCTCTTTCTTCTTGGTATGGGCAGCCGACCTAGGCAAAACCTCCGACCATGCCACATGGACAAAGATCTGGGTAGCCTCTTTAAATGCTCCTGGAATATCTTTGCCCAGGAAAAGGCCTACAAATTACTTTCTCAATGGTACATGACCCTGGACCGCTGGTCTAAATTTACCCCATCGGCATTCCCCATGTGTTTCTGCAGCTGTAGATAACACAGCTGAGCTTTTATACCCTTTTTCTATTGTAAAACCTGAAGACTTATAAAAACATTTGTGAAAGTTTAGTGTAAAAAGGTTTCTATGACTTATTCTGATGTAGCACACACATGCACAAAAATGTTTAAGATCATATGCCATTTACTTACATCCTTCTTTGCAGTACTCAATCAAATAACCATCTATTCCTCCAGCTCCAATGCGATCTGGTGGTCTCCATTTCAGTGTGCAAGTGGTATCTGTGACATCCTCAACTTTCAATTGCAAAGGCTCACTGGTAGGAGCTGAAAGGCAATTTAGGCAGGGTCATTAAACAGCCCTAATGGTGAACCTGAATCATGTTGTCTTTTCATTTCTCTAATTTATAAAAAATAATAGATTCGAAGTCCTGAAAGAGTGACACCTTCAAAAGCACTGGAGTATCAAAGAGATTAAATGTTTATTAAGTGTTTGATTGGTGCCCACCCAAACTGAAATTTATGATTGGCGGTGCATCATAATTGGATCTTATAATCTTAGCAGTTTTGCATAATACCCAGGAACCTTTCATACTACCAAGTGCAAATGATTTCTAATCATATTTTGAAGAGATAAAATTATGTACATTGCTATTATATACTATTTACATTTAAACTAGTAAGTATAATATCCCATCAGAGAAGTCTGTTCTTATGTGGCATTTACTTTACTATTTCTTAGTTTTACCCCATACTTCAAGTTCCTCCCCACACTGCATTATCCATATCTGCTGCTACTACTGAGATTGGGTGCTTATAATAAGGGCAATCATTGCAGTGATATAGACTCTGCAGTTGTAAAGAGACAATTTTGACTTGCACAAAAAAAGTTCATTAGTGTCTGAAGGCTTATTCTAAAGGATACTCTGACCATTTATTGCAATTTCTTGCACTGTCTACATTTTTTGTGAAATTTCTGAGCAAGAACTAATACAAGTAAAATATTTTAAAATGTAATCTAGTACTATTAGTACAAAATTTTGAATACACAAGTATGAAGTAGGAAACATTTATGAACCATCCATGAAGTAAGAACTTTGACTTTGAAATATGATTCTCATCCTCATAAGACAGAATGCTCCCCTTCATATATCTTGATCATATAGACTTCAAACCTATCCATTTCAAATAGTTTTACGCTCACTATTGAATTTGTCCTCTGGTGTCAAAAATGTACTTACCAATTGGCATGAATGGATTAGTGGTATTAGCTTCCTGTGAAATGCCTATAGAGTTGACAGCAAAGACTCTGACTTCATACAATACTCCTTCAATCATGTTTGTTGACTGGTAACTTGTGTCTGTGTAAAGGTCAAAGTTCATCTTCATCCACCGTTGGCTGCCTTTCTTTTTCCTTTCAATAAGATATCCTGAAGAAAATATACACAATATTAATTTATGAAGATCAAATCGGCTTCATGCACAGGACACTATTAATTGTAGCCAGGTGCTGGCTATATCATTATGCCATTCAGGGACATTTACAGGTGAGACTATGGTTTATCCTTTTTCCCCTTGGTTCCCACTACTAGGACTGCTTCATCACTTCCTTTTAGCAGAGTGGATTCAGATCTTCTGACATTGGAGGATCCTGGGAACTATAGTCATATAGCCAATACATACTGTATTTCAAAGTGCTGGTTGAACTACAACTACCAGAGAGCTGGGAAACCACAAGGTTGCTGGGAGAGCAGATATATATTCTACAGCAAGCAACTGACTTGGGGCCCTTGGTGAAGGATTCAGAGCTGAACACAGGGCAACTGATGTTCTCCTCCAGAGACAGATTGCTTGCTACTACTGTGGAACTCGGCATACCAGTTCAGCACAGCGATGACACCGAGCACCACACTGGGATTGTCTCAGCTTCTCTGCATTGGAACTGCCACTATCTAGTCTTCAGCCAGTCATCTCTGCTTGCTGCTCTGTCAGGCTGTCACGTGGTAACTCTGCACTTCTCCATGAACAGCTAAGAGCCTGTGCAAGAACCCTCTTCCTAGGAGGCTGTGCTATCCATGGGATTGGTGGGCCAGCGGATGCCCAATCTCTTTCTGACAACACTCTAGAGACACTGCAAGCAGACACCAGACACCTCAGTACCATCTTTGCTGTGAGCATTTACCACAGCCTATCTGGTTTCTTAATTGAATTATCATTACCCACTACTGTATATGGGCCCCACCACTGCTAGCACAAGACAGAGTGTGTATATATATATATATATATATATTTACATAATTCTTTGCATTCCCTATTGTGGCCCAAAGGGAGATGATGCGTCAACAAGCCTTTTCTTCCCCCTCCTGTTGCTGGTGTTTCAGTTACATAGTTACAATGTACCGTTTTTTACTTTTAATATGTTAACCATTGCTATTTGATTATTTCCATTTTAACAGTGTTTTCCTCTTTTGCGTTAAGTGGGGGCGTACCCACTTCTATTTTGAAAGAGCCTAATATAGAGGTGTTACTAAAGAATCCTGTCTCTTGCATTATTATTTCATACTGTTGAAATATGTCTGAACTCAGAGTGTCAGAGGTGTCAGGAAGCTTGTAATGTCAGGGCAACCACTGGGGTAGCACTACATATTTATTATAGCATTTAGGAATACTAAAGGTAGTAGAAACTGTTCACTTCACAAAATGAATGTTCACTTAGTGAAGTGAATGTTAATAACTGAGGGTATTCACTTTTAGTAAATCAGTAACTGTGATTATTGCCTGAATTAGGTCTAGGTTTCATTTGTACAGACAGAAGAAAATATAAAAATCAGTACATGAGACAAGGTTTTGTGTTAGTGCTCCTTACATGGTAAAATAGTGAAAGGTAAAGCTTCAGTCCTCTACCCCATCAGCACAAGAGATGGTACTTACATTGTATGAAAAGTGTCCCTTGTGCTTGTGGCCAGTACACGAAGCAAGAGCGTTTTGTTCCTAAACTGTAACTAAAAGTTCTAAAACTGTAAGTCTCCCAAATATGGCAAAATAGTGAGAGGGCTTTTACAGCTTCAGTCCTCTACCGCATTCAATACCCCTGCATCTGTGATATTCCAGTGCTTAAGGGTTAATAGAAGCCCCTGGATAGTCATAGGTACTCATAAAAAGTGCTGACTATGCCTGTCCTTTTGGCCCCCCTCCTCCACTCATGAAAGCCGTACTATCGCATTTTGCAATAAAAATTGTTCTATGCCTTGATCCTTCACCAGTTCGACCCATCTGTCCCAGATACTTGCTGGTGTTGCCAACACTCACAAGGTACTCTGCTACACATTTGGTGGACTTGTCCCACTATCCGGAAATTTTAGCAATATATTTTTGATCTGTACTGCAAAATGATGGTAACATCTATCCCCCCGTCCCTTGAGATAGCCCTTCTCTCCATGATGCCTGGACCTATAAAATCAGTGAAATGAGATATCTTGCGACAACTTGTGGCTGCGGCCAGGACAGTTATCCCACGCCACTGGAAATCAACTACTGTGCCCTCCCTAGGAGAATGGGATAACGAACTGGAATCTATATGTGATCTGGAACGCCTTTTGGTGCGGAATTAGGAAAAGAGGATCTGTTCTCTTTCATCTGGACCCCCTGTTCCGGCACTCTTCCGAATTCCATTCCTGGGTTGCCAGCAACGCCGACCCCTCTCTAGTGTAGCCATGGTGGAGCGAGTACGCCATCCTTTGTTCCTTCCTTTTTCTCCACTGCTCTTTACTTCTTCTCTTTTTCCCTCTGTTTTCGGTGTATCCCTCTTCAATATGATCATCTCATCTAATATATTTATCATTCCTTTCCTATACTCCAAGACATGTTCCCATACCATACGACTCTTATATGTTCTTTAAGTGCCAAGGAGCCTGACGACCATTTACTTATCTAAGTATAAATTACTTTCACTATTCACCGTAGCCCTATTTAGTCAATTCATGTCAACATAACATGTATTTGTCGTACTCTCGCTTAAACACAATACTGTTCGGATATTGGTTTACAATACCTCACCTTCCTTTGTTTCCTGTTTATTATATCTGTATTCCCTTGTATCTTATGTTTCCGAAAATTTCAATGAACTCAGATTGAACTAAAAATTGTTCTATGAATAGAGGAGGTGGACCTTTCATTCATGCACTTGTCCTGCATTCATAGAGCACTTTTTACTGCAAGGAGCAATAGCACAGCTTTTATGAATGAAAAAGGGGGGCAGAAAGGACAGGCCCATGTCTGAACTTTTGGCAAGTGCCTGTGACAGGGTCAGTGACTTATATTAAACCCTGCAACATCAGAAAAATCACAGCTGTGGGGGTATTGGGATCGGGGATGGTCAGAGGACTACCAAAACAGCACAATGGACACTTCTCATTTAATGCAGGCCCTTGTGTTGATTACAAACAAAACAACTAAACTTAAGCTTTTAGCTATTAAAAGGAAACTATACTGATTTTGAGGGAATTTTATTTTACCCTTTTTCAAAATTGTGTATATTGTTAAACAACATTTTATATCTAGTGTACAGTATATATTTATATTGATTGATAGCAAATTTTGGTTTTTACAAATAAACACCCATGGCACACCAATGAAATAGTATTCCCAAAGTACTTGTTTCTAACGAGAGAGTACAACTAGAGCTACACACTCTATCTCTGACTCAAATCTCTTACCGAGTTGTACAGAGGGTAAGGGAGACACAGATGAGTTACCTCCCTGGTACATTCATCTTTGTGTAAATTGCAGCTTTAGCTGCTAAGCTCTGTAAACAGGCTATTTTCCCAAGTCTCCAAATATCCTTCAGGAAATTATAACATATCATATCCACCATGGGTACTATAGAGAGTTACTGAAAGTTCTTGCCTGGATACAATATCACCCCTGATAGATGACCATGGATTTTTACAACTGGAGAAAAAATGGCTTCTAAAGAGTTCAAAACTTTTATACTGAAGACCCTTGGATAACATGTTACCACACCACACTTCTTTAAATCTCTACCACACTCAAGCTGGTTCACCCAACCCTTTCCCAGCCATTTTGACACCCTCTTATTTATCCTACTTTTTATTAAACACCTCTTTCCAAGATGCTCACTATTAAACATGTAAGTAAGGAGAAACGCTTCAAGATTTACCATTATACTCAACTCCCCACCCAGCCATCCCATAACTAGACCTCTGACACCCCTTGCTATACCTTCATCCCTATCACTGGAGGCTGCTGAGAGGGCATGGTGTATATTGGGGGAAGAGGTGGAAATTAGTAGAGCTAATGCATAGCTTTCTGGTGCTACACCCAAAGAGCTGCGTGGTCAGAGGTCAAATGTCTTTCCTTTATGAAGTATCCAAATGGATGATGCTATTGTCACACTTGATCTGCTTGAGACTGCAAATAACCATGGTGCAGTCTGCTGCATGCACACTGAAAAAGGCCCACACAGCTGACGTCTGGGAAGTGTACCAGGGGACAACTGTGCCCTGTATTCATGGAGATCTGCCATCTTTTGGAACAGGGCATCTGCTCCCTCCGCTTCTTCCAGTTGCCTCTAGATGATATCCTGCCTATTTAGGGTTGTGCCCCTTCCTCACTTTCATCCTACGCTCTAGCAGGCACCTTCTTATCATTGGAGCCAACTCGGCAGTATGCTACAGCTGCAGGAACCTCTCTGCCGTTTGGTTTTCCATGGCTTGTGTCCTTCTAGGCCAGTGTTTCTCAACCTTTATTTAGTCTAGCCACCCTTTAAAATTCTGCAGAATATCGAGGCACCCTTTAAAATCCTGCACAATCTTGAGGCACCCCATCCAAAATGTAAAAATGTAATAGTTTTAAAGAATGCAGCAAAATCTACACATGTGGGACACCCAACGTCAGAGGTGATTTATTCTTTCAAAGCAAATACACCTTTGCACAATGGTACTAACTAGTATTCCATTTTTTATCTTCGCCCTCATTCAGCTAATGTGACCCCTGTGTTGAATGAGAGGGGCAGGGGAGTGACAAGCAAGGGTGCTGTGCAGGTGCCCAATGTCCTTCTTATCAACTGATGTAATGTTTTATGTTGTCAGTGGCTAGAACATTGTAATAGTGCACAATGAAAACCTGTGGCTTTATGTAACTAATAGGCAGGCTTGATCCACCTGCAGGCTTGTATAAAATGTTTGGGCATTTTACCAAGGCACCCCTGATGAAACCTGCAGGCACCCCAGGATGCCTGGGCACCCTGGTTGAAAAAGGCTGCTCTATGCTCCTGTTACTCTCCTCCCTAACCTCAGAACCAACATCTGAACCAATTAATTGCTGTGCATCCTCCTGCGGCAAATGGCTGAAGCTATGCTCAAACAATTCAGCCAGCTCCTCAATGCCAGTTGGTGGGCAATCAGCAGGAGTAGCTGTACATGAGGAATCAGAATATGCTGCTTTGGCAGCTGCGGTGGAATGTAAGCTAGCCTGAGGAGCCTGGATGACAGAAAAGAAGGAGGATGAGAATGGCTTGGTTAGCTAGTACACCACCTTCTTTGCATGCTATGGCTATATAGTATGCCCAGCACCCAAGAAAAGTGCAAACTTGCCTGCAGGTGATGGACCATGTCCATGACCATCACTTTGGCCTGTGGACAATGCAGGGCTTATTCAAAGAATGATATTTGCAACTAATGGAAGGGAGTGATGATGATGATGAAGGGAGTGGTGCTTGGATGCATATAATCTTTGGTGCATTATAAAATGTGGTGTTTGGGTGGGCTGGGTATAGTATTCAGCTAAATGACACCTCAATGATATGCAGTGCTCCACTGCAAACAAAGGGCAGCTGTTGTGACACCAACAAATTAATGCTGCTGTTGCTGCTGCTGATCCCTTAAAAGACCCTAACAAAACCAAAATAAAAAAAGATAAAAACTACAAGAAATACAGAAACAAAACAACCATAAACACCCAACCGAAAACCAAACTAAGATCTTTTTTTATTTATTGTTTGGCTTATTGAAAAAAAGAAACTAAAACTACCCACTTTCATCAACAAAAAACATAAAAACAAAACAAAAAAGAACAAAAACACAGCAACAAAACCTGCCACTGATATTTATAAAAAGTTATTTTAGATCTGTTTAAATTGAAATGAATGCATGTGGGCATGCACTCACTGCAGGTTGCAGGTTCTCATTTATACTGTCATCGCAATATTGCAGCTGGAGCCTTGTTCTGTTGGAAGACTGCAATAAGGACAGTAGGTGGCGCTGTGTTATTTGATTTCTTTGCCTGTAACCATCCAGTCTGCTAAGAACTGTGTACTTGCCCTTCCTGCACTGCTTTGTATTGAATCCACCACGTCTTATATATATTTTTTTAGTATCATTCAAGTAAAGTTTTTTTCCCACAGGCTTTACAATAAAGCAGCTTTAATTATACCTTATAAATAACTTATGTTCTTGTAGCTATTTAGTAGACATGATCTCTTGTAGTGTACCTGTTTTTTACACTTGGATTCTGCGATATTTGCTGTGAATTTCTTGAATGTATATGTTATTTTGTATAATTTTACCAAACACAATTGAATAAGGGCAGTCCAGCCCAGTTTAAGAAATTTTATCTGTTTTTTTTTTTTTACATCTACTGCTATTCCCCTCTAGGCTTATGCAAATGCATACATGTATGGAAAAATGGGGATGATTTTCTTGTGTACTAGTATTTAGCATCAATTGCAGGCAAAAACTAAAATTAGCCAAAAAGCTATCCAGCAGACACTGCAACTGTGCTAAAGTTGGAGAGTTCATTTAATTTCACCTTAATGCTATTGAGTCCACTGCAGCCAAATTTCAGAGCGCTCCTCACATCTGGGATACGTGCATCTGCATCCTGAAGCTAGTGCTATCAACTTACTCTTTCTGCTTTATATTTTTGTAATTTAGTTCAAGCAATTACATTTCAAATATGGTTGGTGGCGTTGAGGAACTAATACACATAATTTTATATAAGAAACCAGGTGTGTGTGTATAAAAATAATTTCCAGAATTACAAACACATAATGCTTCTGTGTCTTGTTCAAACCCCTGGTGCAGGGGCGTATTTACTACAAGGCAAACAAGGCATTTGCCTATAGGAGCACCCCCTCCTGGAAGAAGGGACACTTGCGGCATGGGGGCCAGGTGGGTACTGAGAGAGGCTGCGGGCTGCTTGATGGTGTATGCAGAGCCTGACTCTCGTTCCCAGGGATATCCGAAGCTGTGAAGGTGAGTGTCTTTCTCTCTCTCGCTGGGGGAGGAGAATGTGTGTTAGTGGAAAGCTGCTTGGGTGGGGGGAGGGAAAAGGGTGTTGTTGGTCAATGTCAGGCTCTCTCTGAAGGGGAGGCATCCAATTTTTGTGTTGCCTAGGGCCTCAGCCTAGCAGCTGCTGAAGCCCAGACTCCAGTTTCTTGGCTTAGTGGAGCTGTCTCCAGAGGCAGCAGCCCCAAGAGAACCCTCCCTTGAGGAAACATGCTCTGTTTATGCCTCCTGCAAATGTATCACCTTCCCAGCCACCATCTGTACACCTCCTTTCAGGGACTGGTTAGGGCATGATAAATATTCAAAAGATCATTTTCTTTGTTCTTGAACCTTATTTCAGAGGCAGGTGGGAGCAAGCAAACTTTCAGCTCAGGAAACCCTGAACAGATCAGCACAATCAATCACTGCTCTATTCATTAAAATGGAGCCAAATACTAAAGGAGGGCACTACATCAAATTTTGCTTACCTAAGAGAGGTTGACCACCATCATATTTTGGGGGTTCCCAAACAACATCTGCCCAGTCCTCTCCAACACCTGTGATTTGAATATTTTGTGGAGGATCAGGAATATCTGGAATGGAAAATAAATGTGAACATTGTATTAGTAATGCTTGTCAATTTTCTGCTACACATGGACTTGTTTCTAAAATTAAAATTTTATTTTATGTATATAGGTTTTTATCATTCCCTTACCTACTACTTTGACATACAGATTGGCACAATCCTCTCCAGAAGGATTGGTCACTACAATTTTATAATTGCCTTCATCCTCTCGTTTTGCTCCATCAATAACAAAGCTGCTTTGATCTTTTTCTGTTTCCACGTGCACCCTACCTTCAATGTCTGTAAACTCCTAAAAGAAAAAAAGAATAAATAATTTATATAGAGGGAAAAAAAATCACTCATTAACATTGCATACCCATATCCATATACATAGCAGTATCATTTATTGGTGTTGCCAACAATCTTTACCCCTTTAAAAAGATAGATGAAACATTTTCATAGAAATATTTTTCATAGAAATATTTCATAGAAAAAAGATAGATGAAACATTTTCAGCATCCAACACACTTCTGGGAGCAGCATTTTCCTTGGATGAATAAAAAGATTTTTGTACTCACTGTAAAATCCCGTTCTGGGAATCCGGGAGGGACACAGGGCCAACAGTTTGTGCAGTGCTCTACAACTTGAGAGCAGACAGTACAGTTACAATACAATTCAATACAGGGGGAAACAGAGGGAGATGCAAATGTTAATAACTGAGGGGGATGAGCTGATGGAGAAAATAAAAATACATTTGTTAGGTAGGGGCAGGATAGACTTCTCTGAAGAGAGGAGTTTTCAGGGATCACCTAAAAGTGGACAGAGTAGGAGATATAGGAGATAGTCAAACAGATTGGGGTAGGGTGTTCCAAAGGTAGGGAGATGCTCTGGAGAAGTCCTTAAGGTGAGTATGGGATGAGGTGACAAGAAAGTTAGAGAGCAGGAGGTCTTGAGTGGAACAAAGAGAACAATTTGGTTGGTATTTTGAGACTAGGTTAGTGATGTAGCAGAGGTCGGAGCTGTGGAAGTCTTTGTAAGCTGTTGTTAGCATTTTGAATTTAAATAGTTGGGTGAGCATTAGAAGACACAGAATGGTTGGTAAGGTGGACGAGCCTGGCAAAAACATTAGTGAAGGACTGAAGAGGGGATATCCTATGTAAAGGTAATCTGATGAGGAGGAAGTTGCAGTAGTCAAGGTGAGAGAAAACCAGAGTGAATTAAAAGCTTTGTGGTATCATTGGAGATGTTGCAGAGTTTGAGGCAGCAAGCTTTGGACAGTGATTAGAAGTAGAGCCAAAAGGAAATATCAGAGTCCTGGATCACACCTAGCACCCTGACATGCAAGGACGAGTTGACAGTCAGGGGAAGAGGCACATGGGGGAAGAAATATTATGAGCTCAGTTATGGATATATTGAGTTTTAGGAAGTGGTGTGAGGAGACTGATGGAGTGAGCTGAGGAGTAGAAAGATAGATTTGGGTGTCATCAGCGTAGAAATGGTATTGAAAGTCATGGGAGGCAGACCCAGGGAGGAGGTGTAGACTGAGAATAAGAGAAGGACAAGAACAGAACCTTGGGGGACCTCGATGGAAAAGAAGAGGAGAGGAGGAAGTAGAATTGTGACAATGAAGGTGCAGTGGGTTAGGTAGGATGAGAACCAAAGAAGAATACAGTCATAGAGACTAAAGTGGAGTTTTTTGAGAAGGAGGTATAGCAAGTATGGTGTGACTAGTGCATGTTTTAGAGAGATGCCAGAAGAGAGGGAGAGATTGAAGATGTGAGTTAAAGAGTATAGGATAGAGCCAAAGGGTGACCATAGTATTTGTGAGGGAACAAGGACCAGGGGGAGGGTAGTTAGGTGGGTGTTAGAAACAACTTTAGCAACCTCATCTATAGTAGCGGGGTTAAATAAGGGAAGTATTGCGTGTACCTGTGGACATAGAGTGTTAAGTGGGTAGGGTATCTCTATAGTGAAGATCTCATCACAGATTGTATCAATCTTATTTTTGAAGTGATTGGCATTGTCTTGCGCAGTGAGTGAGATAGTGGGTGGAGGCAGTGAAGGACAAAGTAGAGAATTGAAAGTAGAGACGAGTTGAGACTGGAAAAATAAAAGGTCTGCTTGGCAGTGTGGAGGCAGGAATTGTATTTTTGGATGGCAGATTTATATCGGTTGAAATTTTTCTGTGACTTGTGCCACAGACACTCAATAACTCGGTTATGTTTTCTGGTGTCATCTCTTTGCCAAGGTTGTAGGGGTTAGGGCCTAATTCTGTGTGTAGTGAAGGGGCAAAGCGCATCCAGGGAGGATGACAGCAAACTGTTGTAGATAGAAGTGGCTAGGTTGGGACAGGACAAAGGTGAGATTTTGTCATAGAGGTTGTCAGTAGCAGAATAGAGAAAAGATAGGTCAAAGTGGCAAATGTTTCTATGGGTTACCGTTAGGTGGTTGGAGGGACATGAGGTGGAAGACAGGGAGAGATTGAAACTAATAAGGTGGTGATCAGGGAGAGGAAAAAGATTGTTGGAGAGGTTGAATGGAGTGCACAGGTTGGAGAATACAAGGTCAAGGAAGTTTGATACTGGTCCAGGGGGGCAGTAGCTCACAGCAATTCTTACAGAAACTGAAGAAAATAGTCACATACAATGTGCCTCAAATGAGGAGAGTGACAGAGAGGGAGGTGATTGACAAACTCAAAAGTTTTGTGGGGATAGAAGGATTCCAACTCCAGCTCACTTTCTGTCCACTGGGTCTAGTGAGTCCAGAGAAGGCCACCAAGGGAGAGGGAAGCAGGAGAAGCAGAGTCAGAAGTGATAAAGAGGTCATGAACAGAAATGAGTTTGTTACAGATAGAGCAGGCATTCCAAAGGACACAAGAGAAGGGGAGGCTGGTTTTGGGAAGAAGAGGAATAGAAACTACATTTTATGGATTGTGGCTGTGTTGAGTGATAGGTAATACTACATCAAAAGGAGAAATGAAAACTAGCAACAAAAAAGCAACTGGTTAGCACAAAATAGCCCTGCCCATAACCACCATGTCTCACTTTTGTAAGCAAGTATTACCGACACCGTGAAATAAACACATAGAAGGGACCTGTGTCAATTCATGGATTTGAAGAAAAGCATGTTATGGTGAGTACAAAAATGCTATTTTCATTTTTGTCCATTGAGGGACACAGAAATTCCTAGAATTCTTAGAATATTGGGACATCCAAGAAAAGTTCAACAGAGGGGTGGACAACATAGCAACAAAGGTTAACAGGCCACAGTAATAATAACAAAAAACAAAAGATTGTCTTTCGGTCACATAGCAACCTGAAGGACCCAATATCCAAAGCCGATCCTTAAAGTATAACCTAGGGCAAAACAATTTTTTTCCATTTTGGACAGAGGGGGTAGGGATTAGAACATTATTTTTTGCTTATTTCTTTATTGGTCTATGTCCCCATTAAGGAGATTCCCACTCTATATTTGTCATGTTTACTGTTATCAATGAAAGTGAAAGAAAATCACACATTTTTGGTTGACCCCACAACAGTAATAAAGAAGTCTTCCAATGAGAACACTAATTCTGATGACCCTGGTGACAACCAGGGATTCTCTCACTTTGGAGGGATTTTCTCTCCTTTCCTGGTTTGGCTATCCAAAGCAACAAGGACGACAAAAAAATTGACAGGGATATCCGTTGCGCTACCCAAAATGAAAAAACAAGTTTTGCCTTAAAGACCATACATTTTTAATAAGGAGCATTCAAACCCACTTTATCTCAATTCTGTGAAGCGGACGAGGAAGAAGTTTTAGATAAGGAAAATAATAGATCAGGGTTACCCAATCCCAAGTAAGGATAAGCCGATGTTTTCTGGGTTTTTTTGGTGTTCAGACATACGCCCAAAGATTATTCCATTCAGTCCTCTGTTTGGGGGGAGCCGAACATGATATATAGAAGCCATATTTCTAGCATTTCTATATATAACAGCTTACCACTGTCACTGATTCCTAAGGAAGCCATGGGTGTTTGTGTTCTTAGGAACCAATGACATTATTGATGTCACCACTAGTCATATTTGATCAATCGCTGCCCTTTCCCTTATACAGCTGGTGACAGCTTAGAGAGCTGTTATTCAGCTAGTGATACTGTTGGGCTTGGTTATGTGTGCTGGATTGACGTTTTTTTTAAAATTTAGTCAGTGGGTGGTGAGCATCTGCACTGATAATTTTTAAATGCTTTTTATTTTCTTAATAAAGGACTTGTTAAAGGCTTGGATGTCTTAATTTCTTCTTTTTTTAAAGAATACTTACTCATGTGGGGAGGGGGTGTGGATATCTGGAGTCCAACTTATTATTAAGTGGGGCTTTCAGATTCTGATAAGCCTTCCACCCACAGTCCCCCACAGCCACCAGGCAAAAAGGGTTCTGTGGATGAGGTCCTTGTCAACATGTGGACAAGGTGCTTTCTTTCCCTCTTTCTTTCTTTCCCTCTTTCCTTTCCCTCCTTCCTTTCTTCCTATGAAAAAATTTACAAAAATAAAACAAAATATAAAATTGTAAAAAAATTAAATAAAAATAAAAACCTACTGACACTAGTGGCGGAAGTACCAGGGTCGCAAAGGTCGCTCTTCTGACCAGACCCTGGTGTTCCGCCACCGGGCTTTGAGGCAAAGGTCCCTGGGCTTTGGGCTGCTCAATCCAAAATGCCTGGGCCTATTTTTTGTCCCACTCCGGGCCTGTCCAGAGATGTGCTCCCTGACAAGGTACACTCCAAATTGAGGGCATGAGGTCAGATATGGTTCATGGGGGAGGAGGAGGTACACGCTTGTCTTCCACCGTTTTCTGACAAGCTAGTTTGTATGCTTGATTTAAGGATCTGTTATTGAGTTTTAGGGGAATCTCAAGTGAAATATTCCTTAACCCCTTCCCACCGGCACCTCCCGGCCCTTTAAGAGTTTCAGATGCCGGGAGGCGGGGCGGGTGGGGCGTGGTTTAGGGATCATGTGACCCCGCCGTGACGCATCATCACGGCGGTCACATGCTCGAGAAAGGTCCAGATCGAAAGAGCAGACCGGGACCTTTCCGTGGGTACCAGACATGTGCTGGGAGCGTGCAGGGCAGGGCACTCTCAGCACATAAATTTTTTTTAACCTGAATGCAAATGTGCGGCCACTCGGCGTCTAGGCCCAGACATTTGTGTGCGACCAGCGGGAAGGGGTCAAAATCTATACTGGAAGGGTCCGGTATGCTTGTGCTACAGCAAAAACTACATTTACAAAGAAAAAAAAAATACCAGTTTAAATTGGGGAGACTTTTGGGGTCTGTGTGCTGTTTTTTCTTCTATAAAAAATAAGCAAGTGGAAAATGTCATTTGCTCCCCCGATATAATTTTTTTATTTATACCCCTTTGCCTTTTAGTTCAGAAAGTGGGCATTTGTAATTGACAGATTCAGCTCTCATTGATTTCAATCACTCCTTTGGAGTTTGTCAAATTCCTGCAGAACTGAACCCAGGGCAGTTCGTCTTATCACTTGTCATCATCAACGAGGAGAAAGCTGCCATACTGAGGGCAAGTGGGCTGGTACGGTTTGGAGGAAGAGGGGGAGGAAGTTGCGCAAAGTCACCCCTATTGGGGCATGCTCAGATTAAGGGTCTAGTATAGTTTAATGTGGGGACCTCACACTTTTTTTGCATGAAGTCCCTCTAAAATCCATACCAGATCCAAAAGGTCTTTTTTTCATTCTTGCTGCGGGATGTACTACAGCAAAAATGACATTTACAAGGAGAAAAAAAAGATACAGTTTAAATTGCCTATTAGTCCAGCAAATTGGCATTTCTGATTGGATAGATTATCCTCCCATTGATTTCAATGGATCTCAGGTTTAGCATTCAAACTTCTTTGAAGTTCATCAATCAATCCCTGCTTGACCGATCCCAGGACAGTTCAGTTCATCAGTGATTCCAAGGAGACACCAGAGCATCTAATGCTTTCAATAGAAGATCCCTTTACCTGGAGACAAACCTGTCTAGTTTGTTTTTGAATCTGGAGGCCAGAAGATTCATATTCTGTCTCCCCCACCTGTGACATTGGTCCTAGAACACCTCTGGGTGTGGGGAACACTCTTCCAGGTCCAGGCCCTACTGGTTAAAGTCAGCAGCTTTTCAAACTACGAGGGGCTGCCGATGCACGGTGCACTTATGTTTTGGGCAGTATGCAAGCAGGTGTGAATGCATGGAATGCAAGCAATCTACACCTGTGCTCCTCACCCGCACCTAAACAGCAGAACCTCCTTTACTGGGGCTAAACACCTACTTTGCATAGGTTTCAAGGAATTTTGCCTGACAATTGTCTACACCTGGGAGGAAAAAGTGCAACTGTAAGCTTCTGTCCAAGACTTGGCCCAATTTACCTGCCTGCTGTGGCAACATTTTTGATTCTTCCCTAATGGTTGTAGTACTTTCACACAGTGCTCTGCTGATGACAGTTTGTTTCTGACAATACTGCTTTAGACAGTTTCAGATACAATTAAGGGAGTAATCCTCAAGACAACATTATTCTGCTACATGTACTCCCAAAGACATTGCACAGTTTTGCACTATTATGGACTTTGAATGGTGTAATTGTATTAGATGACACTACTTATATTTATATATTTATTTGTGTATTTATGATTAGGCAGCGCTTAACTACCCCTATTGTTTAGTTTGGTGAGGGACAGTACCCTTTGAAGTAGCAGCAGCCTTCTTTTCCTGATTTACTAAAAATATTTTTGTTTTTGTTTTGGATTTCATTTGCTTCGGATTCAAGTTATGATAGCTTGTAGGGTTAAACATTGAGGTTTATCTATTTTGTTTGTGGCACATAGTCACCATGTAAAAAGGAATTTATCACTTACCTAAGTACAGATTAAAAAGGTTATTTTGACCAAACAGGAAATTATTTGTTTTAAACAATAAGTAGAACATCTGAGCTTTTCTTGCTATGAAAGCTAGAAAAGGTTTTGAAAACAATAACAAAAAAAGCTCACAATGTTTTCTTTAAACCATGCCACAGTTGGCGCAGGCTCTCCAGTGATAGGGACATCGAATCGTAGTTTGTTTCCAGCCACAACAATGATGGTGTTGACAGGTGTTCCACCAGAGCAATCAAGATGGATTTTAGGTGGCTCTGCAGTAAGAACATAGATAACACTATCAAGAAACTGTAGATTAAAGGTGAACTCCAGGCAGATATACAATATACAATAAATACATCTCTGTATCCATTAAAGTGATTCTAAAGGCTTTTTTTTTAAAATACCAAACATGCCTATACTTACCTGCTGTGTGCAGTGGTTTTGCACAGGGCAGCTAAGATCCTTCTCTTCTCGGGTCCTCCTGGCCCCTCCCTCCTGTTGGGTGCCCCCACAGCAAACAGATTGCTATGGGGCACCAGAGCATGCACACTTCCCCAGCCACTGCTCCGTGTGTCCATTCACACACAGAGTCATGGCTCGGCTCCACCCCTGACTAAATGTATTTTAAGATTTTAAACAGTGTAATTACCTCTTGCAATCCTCTGTACAGCAGAACTCACATTGGGTGAGTAAGACGCAGCACAAGGAGTCAATTAGTTGTGGTGCAGTGCAAAAAGCATGCTGACAGAAGGAGAGAGCAGTGTCACAGAGATGAGCTCATTAGTCTGCTGCTTCTCCTTTCACTGTCCAGTCACAGGCTGGGGGAGGGGAAGAGAATTACTGAATTATAACAGGAAAATAAGCTCTCCGCCTGTGCCAGAGGGGTCTATGTTGTATGACAAAGCTATGTAAATCTCTGGAATAAAATAATAAAAATGCAAATCATTTGACAGGTAAAAGAGCTACAGCATTTTATCTGTGTAATCAGAACTGAGTGATTGGAGCTTTAGAGTCTCCAAGTAAAAGTTGAAGCTACACAATTCAACTGCCAATACATTTGTAATTTTGTCCAGCCAGTTTGTGACACTCAAACGTCTTCCATTCGGGACTAGGGAAGAGCCAAACATACCATGGCTCAGATCAGCGAACATCATCAAAGTTCAGATCCTCAGTCTGAACCCCATTTAAATGAATTAGAGCTGAACTTCATTTAATGGCCATTTTCTAGGTTAATAGTGAAGGGACTGTCACACAAAGGGTATGGGGTGCTGGGCAGTCCAAAGCAATTTTTTTCATTTATGTTTAATGGCGAGATGGTCTTTTAGATGGCTTAACCACTTGCCTACCAGGCACTTATACCCCCTTCCTTACCAGGCCAATTTTCAGCTTTCAGCGCTGCCGCACTTTGATTGACAATTGCGCGGGTCATGCAACATTGTACCCATATGAAATTTTGATCATTTTTTTCTCACAAATAGAGCTTTCTTTTGGTGGTATTTAATCGCCACTGGGCGCTTTACTTTTTGCGCTATAAATTAAAAAAAGTGCAAAAAATTTGAGAAAAAAAAAAAAAGTTTATTTGTTTATTTTATAAAATTTTTCAAACAGGTATTTTTTCTCCTTCACTGATTTGCGTTGATGAGGCGGCACTGATGGGCACTGATAGGCGGCACTGATGGGCACTGATAGGCAGCACTAAAGGGCACTGATAGGCAGTACTAATGAGGTGGCACGGATAGGCGGCACTGATAGACAGCACTAATTAGGGGTCACGGATAGGCGGCACTGATATGCAGCACTGATAGGCGGCACTGATAGGTGACACTGATGATGGGTACTGATAGACGGCACTGACTGGCATCACTTCTGGGCACTGACTGGCGGCACTGACTGGCACAACCCCTGGGCACTGACTGGTGGCACTGACTGGCAGCACTGCTGGGCTGCACTGGTGGGTGGCACTGGTGGACAGCACTGGTGGGTGGGCACAGGTGGGTGGCACTGGTGGGCACAGGTGGGTGGCACTGGTGGGCACAGGTGGGTGGGCACAGGTGGGTGGCACTGCTGGGCACATGTAGGTGGCACTTCTGGGCACAGGTAGGTGGCACTGCAGAGTGGCACAGGTGGGTGCACTGCTGGGCACAGGTGGGGGCACTGCTGGGCACAGGTGGGGGCACTGCTGGGAATGGGTGGGCGGGGCTAGTGGGCGCACTGCTGATCGGAACTTGCGGGGGTCACTGCTGGGCACCGATCATCAGGGCACTGATCATCAGTGCCCTGATGATCGGTGCCGATCCCCGCTCTGACAACTGCCGGTTCTCGGCAGTACTTTCCTCACGATCTGACAGTGTGAGGAAAGTGCAGCCGAGAACCGGCACTTGCATTTTCCTGTGATCAGCGTGTCATTGGACACCGCTGATCACGTGGTAAAAGGCCGGTGGGATCGGCCTTTCACCACATCACGTGATCAGCTGTGTCCGTAGGACACAGCGATCACGGAGATCGCCGGGTGCGTGCCCCCTGGGGCGCGCAGGAGAGCGCGTTCTGGGAGGACGTCATATGACGTCCACTCAGAACTGGCCGGCCGCGGTGAAGCCGTCTTTCGGCTATGCGCGGTCGGCAAGTGGTTAATGGGCAACATTGAAAATCTAAAAAAAAACCAAATAAGCGTTTGTCTATATGTACGGTCTGAACTTTAATAAAAATCAATTGAAAAGAAAATCTGAAAAAACTTCAAATTACATTACATGCACATGAACTTTAATGGCATCCTAGTCTTGGTTCGTAGGGTTTGATATTGACTTGCCCCCCCCCCCCTCTTTGCAGCTATAACAGCTATATACGGCTGCCAGACTCATTCACCTTTCCAACTGCTCTGTCTCCGCCACCCCCCTCTGCCAATCCCTCCACTGGCTTCCGATTGCGCAACGGATCAAATTCAAAATCCTAACGCTGACGTACAAAGCTGTCCACCATACTGCCCCGAACTACATCACTGACCTAATATCCAAGTACCGCCCAGCACACACACTCCGCTCCTCACAAGACCTCCTTCTCTCTAGTTCCCTGGTCTCCTCCTCCCATGCCCGCCTCCAGGACTTCTCCAGGGTGTCACCCATCCTCTGGAACTCTCTGCCCCAACCCATCAGATTATCACCTACTCTCCTCTCCTTTAGGCGCACCCTGAAAACCCATCTCTTCAGGGAAGCCTACCCCACCCCTTGCTAACTTGCCGACCTCCTCCACTCTTCCTACCACTCCATCCCCCACAGCTATCTCCTCCTGTGCCACCATCCCCTCCCTCCTAGATTGTAAGCTCGAAAGAGCAGGACCCTCGAACCCCTCATGTATCACATTGTATTGGTATTGTTCTGTCACATGTTCTGTCCCCCTTTGTAATGTACAGCGCTGAGTGAACTATTGGCGCTTTATAAATACTGTATAATAATAATAATAATAATAATAACTCTTCTGAGAAGGCTGTCCACAAGGTTTAGGAGTGTGTCTATGGGAATGTTTGACCGTTCTTCCAGAAGTGCATTTGTGAGGTCAGGCATTGATGTCGGACGAGAAGGCCTGGCTTGCAGTCTCTGCTCTAATTCATCCCAAAGGTGTTCTGTCGGGTGAGGTCAGGACTTTGTGCAGGCCAGTCAAGTTACCTCAAACTTGCTCATCCATGTCTTTATGGACTTTGCTTTGTGCACTGGTGCACAGTCATGTTGGAACAGGAAGGGGCCATCTCCAAACTATTCCCACAAAGTTGGGAGCATGAAATTGTCCAAAATGTCTTGGTATGCTGACGCCTTAAGAGTTCCCTTTACTGAAACTAAGGGCCAAGCCAACCCCTGCTTGTGTGACAATATTGTCATTATTCCAAAACCTGTTTTTGGTAGTAGTTGGAAAGAAGGATTATTTCATGCAAGCCCATCCCCTGCCAGCAGCTGAAGAGTGGGACCCTTGCCCACTAATGGAAGCAGTGGTCTCATTGCAGGGCCCTACACACCCCCTGTTGAGTCAGACCTATAGCTTTGCAATTACCAAATGCTGATTGGAGATCTCTGGCTTATTGATATTACTGATGATCGGCCCTGGAAGCAATCAGTTTGTGTCCAGGGCTGATCATTCACAGATAATCACTACAAGTCCAATTACAGTGGGGATCAAAAGTTTGGGCACCCCAGCTAAAAAATTGTATTAATGTGCATAAAGAAGCCAAGGAAAGATGGAAAATCTCCAAAAGGCATCAAATTACAGATTAGACATTCTTATAATATGTCAACAAAAGTTAGATTTTATTTCCATCATTAACACTTTCAAAATAACAGAAAACAAAAAAATGGCGTCTGCAAAAGTTTGGGCACCCTGCAGAATTTATAGCATGCACTGCCCCCTTTGCAAAGCTGAGACCTGCCAGTGTCATGGATTGTTCTCAATCATCGTCTGGGAAGACCAGGTTATGTCAATCTCAAAGGTTTTAAATGCCCAGACTCATCTGATCTTGCCCCAACAATCAGCACCATGGGTTCTTCTAAGCAGTTGTCTAGAAAACTGAAACTGAAAATAGTTGACGCTCACAAAGCTGGAGAAGGCTATAAGAAGATAGCAAAGCGTTTTCAGATGTCAATATCCCCTGTTCGGAATGTAATTAAGAATTGGCAGTCATCAGGAACAGTGGAAGTTAAAGCAACATCTGGAAGACCAAGAAAAATATCAGACAGAACAGCTCGCAGGATTGTGAGAAAAACAATTCAAAACCCACGTTTGACTGCACGATCCCTCCAGAAAGATCTGGCAGACACTGGAGTTGTGGTACACTATTCCACTATAAAGAGATACTTGTACAAATATGGTCTTCATGGAAGAGTCATCAGAAGAAAACCTTTTCTACGTCCTCACCACAAAAATCATCGTTTGAACTTTGCAAATGAACATATAGACAAGCCTGATGCATTTTGGAAACAAGTTCTGTGGACCGATGAGGTTAAAATTTAACATTTTGGCCGGAATGAGCAAAGGTACGTTTGGAGAAGAAGGGGCACAGAATTTAATGAAAAGAACCTCTGTCCAACTGTTAGGCATGGGGTTGGATCAATCATGCTTTGGGGTTGTGTTGCAGCCAGTGGCACAGGGAACATCTCACGAGTAGAAGGAAAAATGGATTCAATAAAATTTCAGCAAATTTTGGGTGGTAACTTGATGCCATCTGTGAAAAAGCTGACGTTAAAGAGAGGATGGCTTCTACAAATGGATAATGATCCTAAACACACCTCGAAATCCACGGGGGATTACATCAAGAGGCGTAAACTGAAGGTTTTGCTATGGCCTTCACAATCTCCTGACCTCAACATAATTGAAAATCTATGGATAGACCTTAAAAGAGCAGTGCGTGACAGACAGCCCAGAAATCTCAAAGAACTGGAAGACTTTTGTAAGGAAGAATGGGCAAAGATACCTCAAACAAGAACTGAAAGACTCTTGGCTGGCTACAAAAAGCGTTTACAAGCTGTGATACTTGCCAAAGGGGGCAGTACAAGATATTAACTCTGCAGGGTGCCCAAACTTTTGCAGACGCCATTTTTTTGTTTTCTGTTATTTTGAAAGTGTAAATGATGGAAATAAAATCTAACTTTTGTTGACATATTATAAGAATGTCTAATCTGTAATTTGATGCCTTTTGGAGATTTTTCCATCTTTTCCTTGGCTTCTTTATGCACATTAATACAAATTTTTAGCTGGGGTGCCCAAACTTTCGATCCCCACTGTACATGCAAACAGCACCAAATAACTGTAGTTGCTGTCAGCCTATCAATTGCTTTGGGGCTTCTTGTCTGCAGCTGTTTGCAGAAACCCCAAAGAAAATCCTAGTCGGCCCCTAAACAAACATGCAAATGAAACCTTAGGGCCTGTGTATAAGGGTGTGGAACGTAATAGGATAATCCTCTGCATTGGGTAAAAATGCTGTTTGATCCTGACTTCTCTGATCCTACCCTTCTTTCAGTACCCCCTCTTATCTCCTGATAAGACATATCGTGTGGAGACTCTGCACATGCTCAGTTTGGTGTGTATTGCTAGAGAGGTTTTTTTTTCTTTCTTAGGAGAGTGTATGTGATCAGCACAGGACCAATCAGCACTGTCCAGATAGAGGTCAAGGGTTCTGCATCCTCCTGGAGCAGAAAGAAAACTCCTCATACAAGCTTTAACCAGTGCTTGGCTAGACACAGAAGTCACAAGATTGCTCTAACTGCTGAATAGAAAAGGTATTTAGCAGTTTATATTTACTAAAACAATTACATTTCCATGTAGTGTGTACTGTGGGAGACCAGAGAGAGTGAATGCAGGGTCCTGGGTTTAGTAGCACTTTAAATGCTAGCATAATACACCTGAAAGCACACTGCATTTGCCCATTAATACAAACCTTTATACAGAACTCACCTTCAAGAGGGACATATTCAATCTTGACCTCTTTAAAAAAAAAGCAGAAAAAACAGTGTGTCATTTAAGGAACTTCTTTCTTTTCATTTTAATAGTAAATACATCTATACCATGCACATTAAACTAATTGGTAATTTAACTGGTCAGAATACCATACAATATATGTTGCTAATACAGATGTGTTAAAAATCTAAGTTCATCTTTAAGTCCCCGGTCACACTGGAGCAGATTGTCATATGATTTGATTGTTTCAAATCGCATGCCAAGCTGCACCCTATTGTCCGCAATGGAAGCGGTAAAATCGATTTTGAGTTCATGCACTACTTTTTGCAAGTTCAGGTGCGACTTGCATACACATCTGTGCATGAAGTCACACAAATGTCTTCCAAGTTGCACCTGAAGTCATACTGACATCTGACTTTGAAATCGTGCAAATTCAAGTGAAGTCGCACGATTTGAAAGTCCGATTTGGTGTGACCGAACACTAAAAAATAAATAATAAATACACATATGCTTTCAAGAAAAAAAAATGCATTTATTATGTGGATTACAGATGCAATGTCAGGCTCCTGCAGACACTTCCTTCAGCTCTGTGCCCATAACTTAATACAGGCTTTCAGTTAGGAAGCTGGAGGAAGTATCAGTGGAGTATATGAGACTGCTGGTTTCCACAGTCATAGTCCATTGAGAACTACAAGTCCATCTGTGATAGTCGGGACTTGTATTTTATTAATTCACAGATGTCTGTGAATGAATGAACCAGTTGTGCGAGTACAGCCCTGCCCATCCAAAATGATTTTAAATGTTACAGTGAGCACACAGGAGAGAAGGTTTTGTGGGTGCTTAGGAAAATGTTACATGGTACACCCAAAATACTGACATAACATGTTCCTGAAGGTGAACATCCCCTTTAAAGGGTAACTCCGCTTTTGTCAGATTTCAGGCATCCCCTGCAACAAAAATGTAATTTTTGGTATGATACACTCAATATGAAATTATGTCTACGGGGATGCAGACCCTGCAATTTTCCTCATTAGAGCCCCGCAGGTGCAGCAGCTGATTGATGGGGAGAATGTTTTTTTCTCAACAAAAGTGGAGTTATTCTTTAAGGAAAAATCCAAATGTGTTTGAGATATATTTTCCCATTGACCATAGTAATACACAATTTCAAGCAGTGTTTCAGATTATACTATTTTTGAATTCTAAACTATACAGTAAAACCAATCATTCATGTAAACAAAACTAAAATAGCATTGAAGCTATTGTCAGCTTTGCCAATAGAAACCAAATAGATTACAGATGTCAATTTTCTAGAAAATGAAAGAGTTCATCCTTTCCAAAAAATGAAAAGGTGAACTAACATCCTTCATCCTCCCCAGCCCCCTGGTTCCCTCTGTACTTACCACAATAGGTGAGTGCCCATGCAGCCATTGCCCTGGTCTGGAGATATGAAATCACCACTTTTCTTCCCCTTCTTTCTGTAGGGCTTCTGGGATGGATCAGAGCATTCTCTTTGATAGCGCTGACCAATCAGAATTGCTCATATCCATCCCAGGAAGAAGGGGGAAAGAAAAGAAAGGGGGAAACAGCGTGCATTTCAGATCATCACACTGGATGTGTGAACACTGACAGCTCATCACACACAAAGGTAAGTATAGGGGACACAAGGTGGGTGGGAAGGCTGTAGGGTGTTAGTTCACTTTTTCATTTTTTCCATAAAGGTGACCTTACACTTTAAATTATAGTGCATTTATAACCAAAATGTTTTTATTTAGTTTGGGATAGATCAGAAAAAGTTTAAAACCCATGACAGTTTTATTTTTTTTCTGTCCCAGAGACATAACAGGAAATATCTATATGTAGGGAAAATTCCGCACTGTGACAACTGTCAGCAGGGTATGTATCACTATTGGAAAATCCCCAGCTGACAGCTGAAAGTGTTGGGTGCAGATAAATCATTGGTTGTTAGGATGCTGGAAGTGCCAACCCCTAACAAGTAGGAGGAAGTTGTCACAATTAACACTGCTAAGAACACCACTGTTAAATGTGTTGCTTCACTCTGCATATGGGGGTCCCTTAGTGATCTGTAAATCTTAGAATTATCTGAGCATTATCTGAAATGTTAAAGAACTTGTACTCAAATAATAAAAAACTAATATCTAGGCTTTTGCGTGTAGACCATCTCCCATTTTCCTAATCTTACAGTGATCACATGATCATAATTTATTAATCATTCTCTTATAGATAATTCCTAAATTGACATATTTTACAAATAGTGGACAGTGCCTAAAACTGTGATGTTTTATTGAATTTTAAAATAGAGTATTTTAAAAAAAAATTTTTTTTAAATACTTGTATTGTTGCTAATTAGTATATTAATTTATAATATATAGAGTGTATATATGTCCATTGCACAAAAATAAATAAATTATATATGTATATACATATACATATGCTCAAGGGCTACATTACCAAGAAAGTTGAGTTTGGCAGACAGAGACAAGGCATATCCATCAGGGACAAATGTGTAGTCTGCTTCATCATCTGGTCTAACATCATCGATTATTAACTTGTGGATTCTGAATCAATATAAGATATTATATTAGTGTTCAATAGTAAATTATTTCTTCTTTATTTTTCAAAATTCTTAGTATATATACTAAGATTGATAGATTATCCAGACCATCCAGAACAATAATCTAGGCACCCAGAACTCTAGTTCTACCACAATTCTTATGGAAGGTATATCATTCAAAATCAAAATCAGTGATCCTATTAAGGTAATTACAGAATAGAAAATATATTTAAGAAAAGAGACTACAATGGAAATTTTGTAAATAAAAGAGAGTCTGTCACTTTAAATGGTCAGGGCAAAGTGATAGGTTCCTTTAAAAAAAACAACCCTCACCCCTTTGTTTGTCTGTCAGAGCCCTAGGAAATACCTGGTACCTGGAATTCCCTTCCTCCCACAATGTAGTGCTTAAGCCCAAGTGTCTATCACACAAGGTATGAAATAGAGTGACAAAAAGCTTACACCGGGATCAGATTTAAGAGAAATGTGGGGATTACCTTTTTTTTTAATCATACTTCCTTAGGTGGATGCAGCATTGGTACCCCGCCGGCTCTAAGCGTGAGAACTCAGCGATCACATGACCACATGATCGCTGAGTTCTCACAGCCGCTCTTAGCAGAGAGCTGTGACTGTCAGTCGCTGCTGTCTACTCTGCCCCCCCCCTGCGCTCACTGAAGTGCTGGCTATAGAAGGGGTGGGAGTGGCTGGCTTAGGCTCCCAGCGGCTCACTGAGAGGCTGAGCCAGGTGCCGCTCCAGACTCTGGGATGGATCCCAACTTTAAAGTTGGGATCTTTCCCCAGCCTGAACCAGCTATTTTCTGATTCGCTGACTTTGAACAGGCATACACATAGGGATGTTGGAACTTGTGATCTGCATATTTGTTCTGGAACAGTGGGTGACAGTTCAGCAATGGCAGCCACTGTATCCTGTAAGTTCAGTTTACTTTTAATTTGTTTTTTTCAGAAGTTAGTTTCTGGCTATGTTTTTTTCTATTTCAGATTCTTCCATTTGTTAAATACGAATATATTTTGTGAGGTCTACATAGAACCACATGTTATGGATATTATGAACATTTTATACAAGCAAACTAATTACCGTACACCTTTTCCAGCGGACCATTCCTTTCATCACTTCAAAAGAAATTATTACCAACATTTACTGTTTTGTTGAAGTGTAACTCTCATAGAAGCATTGTGTGCCGAGGAAGGCCACTCTACACAGAATGACTGACAATACTCTGTAACCCCTCCCCCCAGAGATACTCCCCATTATCCACTAATTCATTATATCAAACTTGAAAAAGTACATTTAATTGGCTAACTTTCTAGATAACTTTAAAAAATCTATTTTTAAATTTTCCAAACTGCACTAAAAATAGTAGGCAATAGCAATAAGGATACCTTCCTGTCCTACACTTATGAGTTTCCCAGAAACAGTATAGTTCTTAAAGTAGAACTCCATCCAAAACAAAAAAGAAATGTCTGAAGTTTTTCTTAAAAAATAATTGAAAATTGCCAGTATTTAGCGAAGTACAACTACAGGTATCCCTCCCTTAACGACCTACCTGTTTAACAAATTTTCGCACTTACAGCAGTTTTTTTTTCAGCTCGGACTTACGACCTACCCTCGGACTTATGATCTGATTCAATTTCCTTTCCTTGGCCTTGCGACCCGCTGTTCGGACTTGCAACCCTGCTGGGGGACTTATGATGAAGAAACTGAGTGGAAGTGCGGCCTATGGTAGATATTCTTGTGAAGCAACAATGAGGCCTATGGTGGCTTGTTTGTGACCTAGGGTGTCTTTTCCGGCCTATGGTGGCTTCTGTGCAGTCTATGGTGGCTTCTTTAGTGACTTTTTCTATTCCACAAATTCCACAGATTTCTCGGTGAGTACTGTAATGTCTTTAGTATGTACTGTACTGTTTGAACAGTACTGTACAGTGTGTGCATGATGTTGCCTGTCATTCTTAGCCACCCTAGGCATTGCTGTTTTTCTGATGTTCAGCCCCAGATGGTTCCATACTTGCCAACTGTCTCTGATTTCCAGGGACAGTTCCACTTTTTATTCATCTGTCCCTGGCAGGCTATGTGTCCCTGAAACTGCTTGAAACTGTCACCTCTACCCAGCCATGCTATGTTAGAGTACAGTATGCAAGTCCATTCATAAATAATTCAGGTAGTGTGACAATGTACAGTACAGTAACATGTACTTTTTTTCTTGAACAGTTTAGTAGTGTTGTGAGATCTGGGTACCTTATTCTATATGTACTTTATTATGTACCCCTTAGCACGAGATGTCATCCAAACACAAAAGTGGGAATTCTGCAGGAGAAAGCAGCAAGAAAAAAGGAAGTCTAATGATCTCGAACTAAAAATGAAGATCATAAATGACTATGAAGGTGGTAAAAAAGTTAAAGCCATAGCAGAGGACTTAAATCTGGCACATTCAACCATTTCAACAATCCTGAAGGATAAAGACAAAGTTAAAGAGGCAGTGAAAATATGTACAGGTTTTAAAACCATAATAACTAGGCAGCGGAAAGGCCTCATTCATGAAATGGAAAAATTATTGGCAATGTAGTTTGATCACCAGATACAAAAAAAGAATGCCAATGAGTTTTGCAATCATTCAAATGAAGGCACTCAGTATTTTCCAGACTCTGAAGGCAGGTGAAGGTGAAGCATCAATGAAAAACTTTACAGCAAGTCATGGATGGTTTCTGCGGTTTTGTTACAGGTTCAAGCTGCATAATCGGAGTGTCTGGCGGTGAGCTGGCAAGTGCAGATGTAGAAGCAGCACAACTTTTTCTTTACCAATTTGATAAAACCATAGAGGAAGGCGGCTACTGTCCAGAAAAAATCTTCAATGTGGATGAAACCGGCCTTTTTTGAAAGAAAATGCTTGAAAGGTCCTACATACGCAAAGAAGCTAAAACAATGCTTAAGGCTTTAAGGCTTTTAAGGATAGAGTCACATTGTTGTTGGGAGGAAAAGTTAGTGGGTTCAAATTAAAGCCTTTCCTCATCTATCGCTCTGAGAACCCTCGTGCAATAAAGCATATTAGTAAGCACACGCTGCCCGTTTACTATAGAGCTGCCATCAGCTAATACTGGAATCTTCTACTCTTCCAACCAGTCCATCCCCCACAGTTACTACCTTTTGTACCACTAGCCCCTCCCTCCTAGATTGTAAGCTCCCAGGATCAGGCCCTCCTATCCCTCTTGTATTGAACTGTATTGTTGCTGTATTGTCTGCCTTTACGCACCATTTGTGCACAACTGTTTCCAAAGCAGCAAAAAAATTGGTTGTGCATAATACGGAAGCATTTGACAAAAATGAATATGTGAATCTCATAAACGGAACAACTATAGAGATTGCTAATGTGCTTAATTTGGAGGTTGATGTGCAAGATATTGAAGACTTAGTGGAATATACTGAGGAGGAGCTGAGCGCAAAATATTTAATAGAGTTGAAAGGACAGGAACACTTAGAAGAAGACAGAATTGATGAAGTACCAAAGAGGTTCATTGCAAAGGGATTAGCAGGTGTGTTCTCAAAAGTCAGTGCAGCTATGTTAGCACTAGAGGCTATGGATCCAGATGTTGAAGGGTTCACAAAAGTTGAACGGCAAATGAGTGAACTTTTACAATGCTATCATGAAATTTATGAAGAAAAAAAAAACAAAACAGAGCACAATAACGGGATTCTTCTCACAAGCTACACCCAGTACCTCTACTTCTATTTCGTCATCTTCGTTACCCCGGCCTTCTACATCTCCTAATCATATGTCCACTGATGACATTGATGAGGACTTTGAAGGATTTGATGACTTAAATGTTATCTTCAATGTCTTTTGTTTTTTTTTTTTTTTCCATTCTGTACATCTTGTTTACAGAGCTTTACTGTCTTTTATTTTTTCTTTTGGGACAGTACACCCAATTTTTGATTGTTGTATAGTACAGGTATTGTACTGTTATACATTACAGTACAGTACTTCATACTGTGTAAGAGTTATGCAAATAAAAGAAAAGTCATCAAGTTGGTGTTTCCTTTGTCCTTTTCTTTGTTCTGAATATTGTAATCTACATACTAAATACAATTGCTCATTTAATGACCAAACTCGCTTGACGACCAGTCTCCTGGAACATAACTCAGTTATTAAGCGAGGGATGCCTGTATTCAATCTTGCATAAATATTTTTGCCATTACCTGCCCTTATGGGTCATTGTGATGCGTTTGCTGGGTCTGATTTCCACTCCATTTTTAAGCCACTTGCCGGTCACTTTCTCATCAGAAACCTCACATTTAAATATCGCCTGTTCAGCTGCCTTTACTGTCAAGTCAGCAATGCCCTGTAAGACTTCCAGTTTCTTATCTGTAAGCATGATAATATCAGTAAGACTTGGTATAACTCAAATACACAAGAAAGGATCATTCAGCAATGGCTGTGATTTCTCAACACTGTACCTTCCACTACAAGGTCAGCCTCGCATTCTCCACCATTGGTCATCACTGAATAACGTCCAATGTCATCTTTGGTAGCTTCATTTATAATCAAAATGTGTTTTCTACCATCTTTTTTGAAGCGGTATTTAAACGTCTCCTGACGAGTTAACTCTACTCCATCTTTCATCCTTACAAAAAGATACAGGAAAGCATTAATATAAACACTGGTTAATATATTGTATTTTAATTTCGAAAGAAACATATAATGTTACATGTACCAAGTCACTTGGGCCCCTTCTTCAGAGACCTCAACTTCTAATTCCACTTTATCTCCCACAAAAACTTGTTGGTCCTCCAATGGCTTCTCAATTGTAACAGGAGGCTCTGCAATGCACACAATATTTTATTGCAATAAGGATCGTGTAAATATGCTGAATATGTATGAAAATATTTCTATATCTTTCAAAATTTTTATATGTAGCTCTTATTTCATTAAAATTTTACAAATCCCCATCAGACATGTACTGAATATCCCCCGTTGATACTGAGAGTGTTCACCATGCAGCTCAGGATTTTCAAAGATAAATGAATCACCTATTAAAATGGCAACAAACAGACTGTTTACAAAATGTCAGAACTCAAATTGTAAAATTTAATAAAAATGCTAAATTTGACAATGACAATTTTCCTATTCACTTGCCAAATTTGGCATTTTGCCTATTTTCATAGTTGCCAAATGTGACAATTTGCCAGTTATTCTGAGTTATTTTCTCTATAACTTGCTTCCAGAAAGAAATACCTGTAGCCAGGTGCTTTGCCAAAAAGTGAGTAAGAGAAACACTGGCTACAGCTTCACTTTGCAGCTGCTTCTCTGCAGTGCTGAAATGGTTAACAGCTATTTCAGCAAAAGGAGGGAGCTGTGGAGTAGGAAGAGTTCAATAGAGTCAGTCATCAACGCACTGTGGGAACTGTAGTCTGAAAGAGATGCTTTGCTGTGTAATCAAGAGCAGGAGCGTAGCTACAGGAGTCACAGGGGTCACAAGTGCAATCCGGCCCCATGCTGCAAGGGGCCCGTGCACCCCCCCTGTACGTCTGGGTAGGAGGAGCGGTGGGGGCGGCTACATACAGGGGAATCCATCTCTTCAAGTTCCTCCTGCAGCCACTGAATGACTGCAGTAGGGAGAGGAGGAGAAGCGGGCATTCAGTGGCTGTAGGAGGAACATAAAGAGATGGATTCCTCTGTGTGCAGCCACCCTTGCAGCTCCTCCTATCCTGCTTCTTTCTGCTGCCCCCTTTCCCCATGCTTCTTTCCACCTCCTCTGTCCCCAGTAGCTGCAGGGCTCTGAGGTAACAGTTTCTCTCTCAAAGCCCAGAGCCAGCAATGACAGTTGGCCAGTCAAATTCAGTACAACCAGTCAGTTGGGTTTTTTGGTTCAATCCCTCTCTGTGACTATAGCTGCCAACAGTGATAATTTTATTCTGACAATGGGGAAAACTCCCACTGTCAGAATACAATAGCACAGTGGGAGGGATTCCCCTATCTACACTGACTGAGATGATGGGAGAATCAAGGGATTTTCTTTCCTTGTAAATGTGGTGGAAGAAAAGAAAATTGTATAATCTATGGGCTGCTCAAGAGTGTGTGTTTATACAGTATATATATGTATATATTCTGTGTATGTGTATATATATATATATATATATATATATATATATATACACACACACACACACACACACACGTGTTTCTGATCTTTGGGGTGCATACCCCAATGTAATAGGCTGTGCACACTCATGTCCAAAGGCTTCCTGGTGAAGAAAAGTAAAAAGTCTCCGCTGAAGCCCCTGGCCACCCCCCCCCCCCCCACCAGTCAGTATAGGAACCCAGAGTCGGTGCAGCAGGCCTGGGATGGGGGTTGGCAGGAGGCAGGGAGGGGTAAGAGTGGGAGGGGTTGTACTTGGTCCCTGGGCAAAAATTTGCCAATCAGCCCCTGCTCCCCCCTGCAGCTATGCCGGTTCCCTCTCCTGTTGACTGCTGCAGGGGATTTGTCAGGATGGAGAGTCAGTGATCTGTACCAATCACTGAGTCTGTTCATTCATAACTAAGTCCTAGTAAACTGTGTTTACTATGCTTCAGTTTATGAATGGACAGGAAGCTCTGTACAGAGCTATTCCTTTCCATTCAATTAGTGCATCTGAGGATGCAGAGTAGGAGATTGAGGGCTTCTGAGTCCTCAATCTTCTTTCTCTGTCTCAAAGGTAAACATCAGAGGTATGTTTAGACCCCTGGCATCTCACCTGAGCCCCCCAACGGGGCTTCTTAAAAAAATGTAAAAAATAATTACAAATAATATTGTAAAAAAATGTTTTAAAAATGTGAAAAAAAACTGCTGACACCAGTGATTCAACTACCAGAGTCACAACTGTCTCACTTGCGACTGGGCCCTGGCATTCCACCACTGGACTCAGAGGGAATGGCCCTGGCCTGGGGTCAAGGGGTCCTTTGTGGTTTCTTGCACTAGGGCCCTGAATGGTCTTGTTACACCACTGATCAAGAGCTTTTGAGCTACATTTCACAGGGAGGAGATTGCTGGAGGAGGGTATACTATACTGAACACAGCTTCCTCTTGCCATGAGATAGCCCAAAGAGTGCACATTGCTGTCCAGTGTGCACCACCATTGCTGTATATCGGTAGCCTGAGTGGGATCCAGGAATACTTAGTTCAGGGGGTGCTGACAGACAGAGTCACCTGGGTTCAGAGCTAAGAGTGGACTAACCACCGTGTGTGACAAGATGGTGAGCTGTAATATCGCTGGGACTAGCAAGCTGCTACTGTGGAGATTTAGTGCCTGCTGCTATATAGACTGAGCCCTTTAGGAACTGACCATACAGCCATCTAGTAGCCTTATTTGCTGCCTGCAGGTGTCACTGGGACTGTAAACATGTGCACCAATGGTACCACTGGACCCCAATGCTAGCTGACTGAAGAGTTGGGTCTAAAGACTACCCCTTTACAGTTGCTACACAGAGTCCTTTACCTATTGATTATGCTAAGAGGAACCTCTCAGAGGACATTACACCATATAGTAGCCATTCTCCTAGAGTGCACTCTAGACTAATTACAGTTTTATAATTATAGTTTATGTATTGGTTCCAGTCTAGTGGTACAGAACTCTGTATGCTAATTTATGTTCAACCCACCATTAATTTTAACCCCTACCAATACATTAATTTACCAATAAATGGTCTTGAGGTGACTTTCATTCAACTAGGTGTGTCAGAGGGGCTGAGGTTGTTCCTGGAGAAGAGGTGCAGAACAGAGAACCCAAATTACCAAGCACTGCAGTTGCAAAATCTTCACTATAGGAAATATCTTCAAACCATATTTCTGATGCCTTCTCCAACCTGGCTTACCAGAATCCACTTACTCCAAAGAACCAGAGATGCCTGAAGTCTAAGAACATAACTTGGCATTATCTCACCACAAAAGGTGACTTCAATCACATTCCTCTGCCCCATTCCTTGCGAAGCAAACAGACTGTAAGATGTTGTCAACAGAATTTCAGAAAGACATATAACTCTAATCTATGTAACTGTTCCATACATGAAAGCAGTGGATTTGTTTACTTTAAAACAATTTTTACAAGTAAAATGTCTACCATAACTAATTAAAGCTTACCTTTAACATAAAGTTCAGTTTGACTCCTCTCATCACCAACTACACACGCGTATTCTGCATCATCTGCCAGGCTACATTTGTTGATTGTGAGTACTCTTCTCAGACCAACATTCTCAAACACATATCTAAAAATAAAAAAATAAATGCATGGTCCCATTTTAAGTGGAAAAGTCTTCTTAACACACAGAACGTTTTACTTGAAGTCTGTGTAGACACTATATACTTTTTCGTTCTCAAACAACACTCTAGCTATTTATCCAGATACTTTCAATTTTCTGGCATACTCATCGTTCTGATTGCAGAGCTACTTGTAAAGCCAAAGGTACTTCAGGTTTTGAGACTAAATCTATAAGTGTTTTTATTCTCAAAGATACTTATAGTTTGGGAGGAACCTGGAAAAGAGTTGTATGATACCTGTTATATCTGTAACAGAGTTATTTGTTTGGTTTCTTAAAGTGATATTAAAGGTTGTTTTTTTTTTTGTTAACAAATATGGTATACTTATCTGCTCTGTGCAATGGTTCTTGGGTCCCCCGCTGGCACTCCAGGCCCCTCCCTCCTGCCATGTCACCCCATAGCAAGCAGCTTGCTATGGGAGCTCCCAAGCAGGCTTGCTCTATGTGTCCATTCACACATGGAGCATAGCTCGACCCCGCCCCTGCTCCCCCCTCATTGGCTCAGTGGCTAATGGCTCCTGCTGTTGTCTCAGTCAATGGGAAGAGAGAGTTCTGGGAAGCTCTTGTGCACATTGCTGGATCATGATGGGGCTCAGGTAAGCATTAGGGGGGCTGAGAGGAGAGCTGTGCACAGTTTCTTGTTTATGCATAGAATGCATGGCGGTAAAAAAAACCTTGAGCCTTTACATCCACTTTAACAGACTCAATTCATAATGATCTAGAAATCACATAATACAGTTTTTAAACTAGTAATTTGTCTTTGAGATGTCTTCCAGTATGCTTTTGTTCATGTACGAGGTTTTAAGTATTAATATAGTAAAACTATTATTGCATTGCTGCAAATGTTATACATTATAAGGGCTCATTTGTTTTTGACAAAATAAAATTGGTGCAGTTGTTTTGGTTTCAGTAGTTTTTGCACCAATTAGAAGAGGGTAGAACTCCCTGAGAGACATTTCTTCAACTAGAACAACTCACCTCCTCCTCCTCTATGGGCAAATGTAACTTGTTTACGGTGTGTTCTGCTTACATTCGAGATCAGTTTGAGATGTTCTGAAGTCATTTACTGATTAACAGGTCCAATTGACCTACTTTTGATCTCCTTCTCACCAACATTTAATTCTCTTGAAGTCAGTCTGATTCAAGGTGCTTTTCCATACCCACTGACCAGTATGGGGAGAGAATCAGTTCTAATGCAAAAAAAAGCAAGTGAGCACAGGGCTGCCAACTGCAGGAAAAAGAGGATAACTCAACTGTCATCTTCAATGTTAATGGTGAGCTCATCAAAAAAGGCAGCTCGGAATAGACAATAATAACTATATCGAAATCGAAATCAGAAAATATTGTATCTTGCTATAAAACTTTTATAAGTGCGTCGATGTAAATGTATGTTTATCGTAGTTATCAAGGTATATAATGTATTCTGAAAGGAGTCCTGTCATGATAATACCCTGGCTGTCATACTGATGCTTTGGTCAAATGATCGTACAAGAGTAATTGTAACTTGCAGTTTACAAGACAGATGCAAAGGTAGAAGCTATAATATAAAGCAGGTTCAGGATGGCAAAAACATGCATACGTTGCAGAATAATGAAAGCTGCACAAACATATGAAAGTTGCACAAACATGGACTCTTTATAGCAATGTCCCTGTGACTCAATCAGGGTTACATGTGGCATTGTCCCTATAACACTCTATAACAACAGAGACTTAAGCTGAGAATTACTACTTCAGGAAAACAGCACAGAACATAGCCACGTGATCAGGGGCGGACTAACAACTCATGGGGCCCCCAGGCAATAGGGGATCATGGAACCCCTGTGTCCTCTCCCACAGTCAAACCACACCCAAAAAAGCCTATGAAAGGTACCAGGGGCATATCATGGGGCCCCCTACTGACCCTGGGCCCTGGATGGTCAGTCCGCCCCTGCACGTGATTATCCTCATAAACAGGGTTCCACACAGTGAAGTCCAGGATAACTCTGGTAACTGAGGTAAACAGCTGGGGGATTAAAAGTCTAAGGATGCAGTGTCCCCCAATGGAAATAGTGCATTCTGGTAGCAATCATGGTGGTGCTTCGCACAATAGCTGGGACTTCTATAGAAGCTATGTGCTAGTATGCTCTGGCCTAACAGCCCCCACACTAGTTCTGTCAGTTCAGGGCCTCTCACCTGGCTACAGATCATTTTCCCAGTTACCTCTGCCACATCAGTTGTGCCCTTTCTGAGCTGCAGGAGAGAAGCTGAGAAATCTATCTTCCCTGAGCATGTCCAGGAACCCAGGGAGTTGAGGGAAAAGGCATTAAAGGGGCCTGTGACAGAATTTAAACATGGTGAGTAAATGGGACCTCCAGGACATCACTAGCAAAGAACAAAAGTGGTAAAAAAAACCCTATTTTCTACAACTTTTTGTTGTTGAATTCTTTTTCTAGGTCTGGTGGAAAAATTACGAAGACAGAAAAAAGCTGTGTAGCGGGCATTTTCAGAAAGAGGCTAGCAATCCCTGTATTTCTCTTATGAGAAGGGCAGTTATAATAAATACATTTTTCAGAAGGTATAAAATGTACTGTACACCAAGAACCTATTTATTTTTTGTCCCTGATACCTTTAAGCACACCTCTTCCAACCAGCAGCATGAGGTGTGCTACAGCCATAAAAGCCCACCAGCCACCCACCTGATACACTGTTGGTGTGAAATCAGTTACATAGGTACATAGTTGGTCAGTCTGAAAAAAGACAAAAGTTGATCTAGTTCAACCATGTGAAAAAAATCAGGCTAAACCTGGGAATAAGCACAGATGCAGAACCAACAAGAAAATCATACATCTATGATGGATCCAATACTACAAGAAATAGGATGCAAACTTTTAGGCCTAGTTCATGCAAGTGTCAGAGATATAATTTTTTTTTCTGCACGCGTTCCGCAAGAACACAAAGAAAACTATTGTTCTCTATGTGCCCTGTTCACACCACAACACTGGTATGAAGTGTGGATTTTTTTTCTGCACAGGAATCTGCAATGTGTACAACTCATTGAAACGTACATGAAAACTGATGTAAACTCGCGTCTCTGCAAGTGAAATCTGTGCATTTTTCAATCGGTTTTTCTGAACTTATGGTGTGGACAATGCCTCACACTGCAAAACTGACCGTCTTTTTTGTTTCACTAACAAGAGGCTTATGAAGGGGTGCCCACTGTGCATGCGCGAGAAGCGCTGTGCTTTGTGAATGGCCCCGTAGTCTTGTGGGACCTGCCACGTGTCCCAGAAGTCTACAGGGAGGGACGGGGGGGAGGACAACTTCCACTTCCGATCTCCTTAGGTGATCACAGCAGAAGTGTGAGTGGGTACCTGTCAAATTGGGGTACCCACTCCCCAAAGGTGCCAATCCTTAATGGGGAGCGGGGGACAAAGGCTTAAAGCGGAACTTACCATTTTGGGTGGAGCTTCGCTTTAAACTTTATTGCAAGCTCTTGGGAGGCCAAAAACAATTGGTTTAGCCCTCCTTCTCACGACCAGTTAGGTGCATATGGCAGATTCCTATGGCAATCTTCTTGGGGTTGGGGTGACGTGTGTATGAGAACAGCTATGGCTGATCAGCCAGTACATGCAATGACAGGCTGAGAGGAGCCATCGCTGTTCGCATATATCTGCAAAACCAAGGGCTAACTGTGGTTAATGTCAGATGTCTGAACCTAGACATATCTTTCTGCATCCAAGGTTGTACATCTGTGCCTGCCCCCAGTTAACCATTAGATGTGTAGATACATGTGAACAGTTAATGCATTGTACAGGCTACACAGCCACAGGTTTTCTCATACGTCTGTGATCCCAGCCAAAAGAATCCTCAGTATGCACCTAATTGCCCTGCAAAGGAGAGAGATTAAAATGATAATAAGGCTTCATGTACACGGGACGTTTCTGAACGATGGAAACTGACTGCTGGAAAACGTAGGTTAAAAAATGTCTGTTTAGCTGCGTTTGCATAACTAATTTATGTGCGTTTATGCACGTTTGCGTTTAGAAGTGTTTTTTAAAGATAAGCACAGGAGAACCTCCCAAATGCCCAGAATGCACTGAAAAGTGGTAAATTACTATTAACTATTTTAGACTGTTTCAGAGAAATACAGAGAGTAGAAGCAGAGACAGCAGTATGTGTTGAGATAATTAGGTCTGGGTTGCTCATTAACATTTCTTTTGTTTCCAAGGGTGGGAAAGGTGTCTGGTGAAGTGAGTCATTAAGGTCACCTGGCTGGGGGTCTTCATAAGAGATTTGAGGTGTGAATGGTCATTAACATATCTTTTGTTTCCAAGGGTGGGAGAGGTCTGAGGTGTGAATTGGTCATTACAATGTGTGACAAGCTTGGTAGGAACATCCTGTGTTAAATGTTTTGTCCATCTGAGCACCTTGAAAACGCTTTGCATGCATTTTTCACGATGAAAAAAGGATCTGGACAGCATTGGGAACTGGAAGAGTTAAAAAAAAATTTAAACGCTTAAAACGTGATTTGCAGCATTTAGCCACGTTTACAAGCATTTTGTGTTTGAAACGCTGATAAAATCGACGTCTGAATGCAAGTTTGTTGTGTTAAAATAAACGACTGTAAACTCAACTGCCTGTAAACGACTGTAAATGAAGATGTGTCCATGGACACATAGGAAAACATTAGGGTGAGTTCAGGGGCTTCTGAAAAAAACGCTGAATAGCTCCTAAATGAGTTTAGCAGCTGCAGTGTACATGAGCCCTAAGTCCTCATGTACACCGGATGTTTTTACAACTGCTGTTCTTGGCTTTTGATGTTTTTACCTACAGCCAGTAAACCCCCCAGCATGTTACCCTATGTGTCCATGCACACATAGACTGTAATCAACATTTTTGACTGGGATGTTTTTTGTTTGGAAAAAAACCCAGGACTAGTGGGTTTCTAGAAGAGTTTGTTAGCTGTAAAAATGCTCTATTGCTCAAAAACACAGCAAAATGTGGTAAAATGCAGTAAATCATGGCAAACTAGGGTTTTTGGACTTTTTTGGACAAAAAAAAAATTTTTCTGTAAGAAAAACCGATAAAAAACGCAAATGCGAAAAAATGCGGCAAAACACTAATACAAAAAGCTAAAAAACGCTGAAAAACTCACGTTTTTAACATGACTTTATACAGCTAACGTTACCAGCGTTATTAAAACGCCCAGTGTGCATGAGCAATAGAGGCTATTTAGAAAAAAAAAATAACAAACATGTCATCCTTACCTGCTCTGTGTAGTGGTTTTGCACAGAGCAGCCACAATCTTCCTCTTCTCAGGTCCCCCACCGACATTCCTGTCCCCTCCTTGCTGCCATATGCCCCCAGAGCAAGCAGCTTGCTATGGGTTCACCCAAGCAGACTCGCTCCTGAGCCGCTGCTCTGCATGCCAGTTCACACACAGAGCCATGTCTTGGCCACGCCCCCTCTCTCTCCTCATTGACTCACCGTCTGGCTGTGAGAGTCCCTGGAGAGCCAAGGATCTCATGCACATCGTGTGATCACAATAGGACTCAGGTAAGTGTTCTACTGCACACAGAAGGTTGTTTACATAGAATGCATGAAGGTAAAAAAACCATGAGCCTTTACAACCTTGAGCATTTACAAGCAGCAGCTTGGTATTCATCAGCTTTGAAGATAGATTAGGTTGGGAAATAGATGGAGGGGTAAGAATAAAGCAGGCATTATGTACTGTAGCAATTATACACAAACAGAACAGTAGATTGACAAAAAAAACCCAAATATGTAGATAGTAAATCAAGCATTATGCTGTAGCTGAGTGCCCATTTGCTCCTCATGCTCAGATGTAGGTCCCTTTAATTTCTGTAGGCATCTGCTGCCCTCTACTGTCTGTATTGTTTTTTTTCATTTAAGTAGCAAAAAATAAGAAAACCCATTGGTGATTAAATACCACAAAAAGAAAGCTCTATCCGTGTGAATCAAATGAGAACACTTTAGTCTGGGTACAGTGTTGCATGACCGCGCAATTGTCTGAAAACTGAAAGCTGAAAATTGGCCTGGGCAGGAAGGAGGTGAAAGTGTCCAGTACTGAAATGATTAGTCATTTGTTACTTACCACAGAGTTAGTTGATTATAGACAGCTACTTCCTGTCCCTGCTAGCTGCATCAGAAACCCCAGAAGAAGGAATTGGAGAGAGAGAAGAGCTGAGCCACATGATCTTAGACACACAGGAGCTGCTGTAATACACTCTGGTGAGTGTATTTTGTGGCGGTGGGAGAGCTGTACTTAGGGGAATGTATACTGGCAGGGGGGATGTCATATTGGGAGGTACTGTAGTGGTTGGGAGGGATCTGTATTGGGGGGAGAGGGGAGCTTTACTGGTTGGGGAGGAGCTTTATTGGTAGTCACACCCCCCCCCACCCCCCCCCCCCCCCCCCCCCCCCCCCCCCCCCCCCCCCCCACCACCCCCCCCCCCACAGGGGATCTGTACTGGGGGGAGTTGCACTGACGTGGGATGGGGGGCACACAGCCTGGCTGACTTTCTCTAGATGCGTGAGGCTAAACCCCCCAGGAAAACAATAATCCATGACCCTGCTGCGCTGTCAGAGCTGGCTTTCATGCAGACCCAGCTGCTGTAGTGAGCACCATCCCAATTGATACCAGAGTACTCTAGTTCCAGTGGGATGGCCCCCCTGTGCCATCAGGCCTTGGATTCCTCCAGTTGTTTGCATATGTTATGTTAGTTTTTCTTCCATTTCCATTTTGCATTTAAAAAAAAAAAAGGCAGTAAAGCTCATGAACATTAAATCCTATAGAACTCTTGACACTGGTCAGTTGCAGGTCTGCTGCATTTTTAGTGCACGTTTGGTGCGGTAAAAAAAACAAAATGCACCTCCCCATTGAAATGAATGGAAAACTCATCAATTTTAGCGCATTTTTGCAACAAAGCAGTTTGAAAGTAGCTTTACAGAAGTAGTGATTCTGAACCAGGGGCGGACTGACAACTCATGGGGCCCCTGGGCAATAGGGGATCATTGGGCCCCTGTATCCTTGCCCACACTCAAACCACACCCAAAAAAGCCTATGAAAGGTACCAGGGACATCTCGTGGGGCCCCCTACTGACCCCGGGCCCTTGGGCAGTGCCCGAGTTCCCCAATGGTCAGTCTGCCCCTGTTCTGAACTAGACTTTTAGATTTTGTAGAATTTTATGAAGACTATGCTATGCAGCCATATTACCATGACTGAGTCACAAAGATATTGCTGTGAAGAGTCCATGTTTGTGCTTCCTTAATAATCTGTTTTGAATTTGTATTGTTTTGCAGTGTATGATGTCTTTGCCAACCTGAACTTGTTTTGCACTATCGCTTCCAACTTTGTACCTGTTTAGTAAACTGCAAGTTACAGTTACCTCTTTTAAGGTCATTCGACTGATAACCTTTTCTTTTGAGATGCTATGTATATGTTAAATTTTTTATATTCTTATACACGGTTATATTTTAGATGATACAGTAGTGTCCCTTTAAAGAGAACCAGTCACAATGATTTTTGGCGTGCACAGCACTGAGTGTGCTCTGTGTTTTGATACGCTCTGATGCCTTTTCATGCTCCCCTACGAGGGGCAGAGAAATCCCAACCCAATCATCAGCAAGAAGCAGCCACATATTGATTCCATTCATGTATGCCATGTACGCATGCGATGTACTGCTGCCAATGACATTACTCCTGCAGATGATGGCTGTATTTATGCAGACTGGAAATTAATTTTATAGTCCCCCTTTTAATTAAAGAGGGGTATGAAGAAGCAGCCCTATTTTCTCCAAGAGGTAATGTTAATGGGGCTAATGTAAGAAAAGTGTGCTAAAAACATTGCTGGTTGCTTATTGCAGCCAATCTTCTAACTCACATGTCTGCCAGCTAGAGCTGAACATGGAACACATATTCTGACTGATTGTTATGGGCAACAAGAATTGTATGCTGCAAATATTTCATCCTTAAGCCCCAGAGTGAGTAATTTTGAACAAAGAATTACAATTCTCATTGTTAGCCACATTCACTGTCACTTACTTGGCACTAGGTTTTATCACTTGCCCATTCTTCATCCATTTAACAGGCAGGTCAGGGTTTGTCAACTCTACTTGAAGTTTAATCTTCTGACCTTTGTCTACTGTATAGCAGTTATCTAATCTCTTTTTAAATGCTGCAGAAGAAACAAAAAATGAAAGTTATATGGTTAATATATCCTAAATTTAGACATCTGTATGTAGAGTTGGACATAGACAACAGAAAGTAGTAGCTGCTCATCATGTGATGTGCCATACTCTGTTGGCAGTTCCACTGTATCATTTGCTTGTGCCTGTCTCTGAACATTACAGACCACCATGGAACTGATACCTTTCTGTGCAGATTACTGATCTAGTGGCATTAAGTAGTCTAATCTGAACTGTAGTTATTTTGATCTGCAATTACCATATGTCTGAAATCTTAAAGCAGAATTATAGCCTCCCAGGAAAAAAAATGTGCTGCAGCACAATTATAGGTATATGTACACTAGGGATCAGCAAATCTGCCTAGGTTCCTTTCATGGTGGGTTTTTTTAATCCTACATGAAATCCAAACAATACAAACTTAAATAATTGAATACCATTAAATCTATGAGAGAGGGATCTTGATATTAGCTACTGGCTAATTTATAAGTTAAAAGGCAAGGTATTGTGAAAAAAACAGCATGGAAAACTGTCATTGGCACTGTCTTGGGTGCATCTAAGAATACCGTAAAGCTGAGAGATGGTCCTTTTTTATGCAACTTAGAGGGTGACATGAAAAAAACACCAATCATTTAAAATTACATGCTTGAGAGATACCTTTGAGCTGTATGTGGTGTTACAGAACAGTATGATTTTCATGGACAGCAATGACACCATATTCTAGCATCACATATTTTGGATGTATGATTGATTGATTTTTTTTAACTTTTACTTCTAGTTTGGATTAAATACAACAGCAGCACCTCAATATGATTTATTTCAACTTGAAAAAGGGCTCTTTTTAGGTAGTTTTGTCTAGGATATGTCATTAACTATTCAACATTAATAGCCCTGAATTGAACAGCGGAACCAGCAGCCATAATAGAGATCTAAAATCTATATAAAAGTTTACTCTTAAAAAAAGCAGAAGGTAAAACACTCACATTTGTAGAAATTGGACAGTGGCACAATAGTTTTACCAACCTTTCAGTGTCTGCCACCCCTCTCTGCCAATCCCTGCATTGGCTGCCATTCATCCAACAAATTAAATTCAAAATATTAACAACAACTTACAAAGCCATCTACAACTCGGCCCCCAGCTACATCACCTAGTCTCAAAATACCAACCAAATATCTCTCTTTATTCCTCCCAAGACTACCTGCTCTCTGGTTCCATTGTCACCTCCTCCCATACTCGTCTCCAGGACTTCTCCTGAGCCTCTCCCATACTATGCAATTCCCTACCCCAATCTGTCCGACTATCTCCTACTCTGTCCACTTTTGGTGATCCCTGAAAACTTGTTGCCTAACAGGATAGGCTTCCTGCCCATCTAACAATTGTACTTTTATTTTCTCCATCAGCTCATCCCCCACAGTTATTACCTTTTGTATTATTTGTCCCTCCCCTTTTAGTTTGTAAGCTCTAACAAACTCTAACACATTGTAAAGTGCTGTGGCGCTACTGTTGGTGCCATATAAATCTTTTATAATAATAAAAAAAAAATAATAGAAAAAAAGCATGAATACCTAGGATAGCCATCCAATCTCGAATGAGATAAGCAAGATTAAGAACTTTATAGCACAATACCTTAACCTCTTCATGCCGATTCTACGCAAATATGCGGCCTCTCGGCCGCTGGGCCTTGATGCCGAGCGGGCTCATATTTGCGTACCATTTGTAAACAAACGTACTGAGAGCGCGCGCCCTGCACGCTCCCATCACGTATCGGCATCCCACGGAAAGGTCCTGATCACTCATTGCGATCCAAACATGTAACTGCCATGACAGCCAATCATGGCAGTCATATGACACTAAACCCCACCCTCCAGGTGTCAGAAACCCCTTAAAGGGCTGGCAGCACCAGCGTGAAGGGGTTAAGTAGATGGTCAAGGACTTCAGGAGTCAAAGAACTACCTTAGGTCAGACTGACTGACAGGCAGAGGGGAAAAAAAGATTTCAAAGGTTAACCAATATACACAGGAATGAGAAGGGCAGTAACACCAGAAACATGATAAGCAAGATAAGCAAATCCATTCACAAAGACAACCGACAGTGACACTAGAACTTGACAAGGAAAGACCCCCTGCAGGGCCTGTCTTCCTGATCCTAGACATAGGACTATTAAGTCCTCTGTCTTGACCTGATCCAGTAAAGCATCCATAGCCACAGAGAAACCTCAGCCAAAAAACTAAGAACTGTCACTTGTTTAAGTACAGGAGAAGGGAAGATATTTAAAGGAACTTTCCCTAGAGGCTTTGAATCAGAGGCTTTGACTCCAAATAATCGGAACCCATGAGAACCTCTGAGCTTTGTATCTCCCAAGAGGAGTGTTTTCAGAAGGGTTGCAACACGAGCTGTCTACTGACAGTTTAATGGAACACAAAGCCCTCCAGTGATGGGTTCTTCCTGCTGTGCAAGAAATATAGCACAGAATGGAGACTATAGGATGAAGAGTCCCATAAGACAAAGTGGTGCCTCTACAGGAACCATGTGGTTGAGTGTAACATACCAGTATTATCCAGCATTGGGAATGGATCACTCACCCCTTCATAGGGAGAATACTCAAGCTGTTCCTGAGTTGAAGGTCTTATAGCACCGAAGTGATATCCAGCAAAGTCTAGGTCAAGAGACTCACTCACATCACAATAGGAACATCCCCAAAAAGCAGGTACCAAATGTTCCAAGGAACCAGACTTGATTCCCAGACGTATGGATAGTCCTGAAACAGGAATGCTTCCACGATGAGGGGGTGGAGAGCCACCAAACTGACCTTGGGAAACTGAGGGTTCTCAAGGATTATTATATCCACAAGGTTTAAAGTGCTTCAGCAAGGATCTAAGCTGGTCAGCCTCGTTCATTAGTGACTGATAGTTACCAACACTAGATATTTGTATGGCTCCAACTAGTAGAAGCCTGCAAGAGTTTGGCCCTTTAAGAGAAGGCAATATCTAAAAAAGGCACTAAAAGAGATGTAGGGTCCAGTGCTGTCAACAGCTACAAATGCCCTTGAAGAATACTGAAGGGTCAGGGCCCTGCTAGAGGAGGGAGCAGTGGAAGTGGTCTCAGCTGACTTTGAAACTCTCTTTGAGTACCCTCTGGACCCTACCCCAGTGGTAGAAGGATTCTCCTTAAGGTGTTTAATCCATTCTGCCATGATCTGGCACCACCAACACATGATGAAAGATACAGTAAGTATATCTTCAACCCTTCTACTGATATCTCTGTTAACATGAATCACTGAAACATTGACACTGGGCATGGACCACTATCAGTGAATCCTCCCTAAGAGTAAATGTTTTGTTACAATCTAAGGTGGGTCCAGAACTCTTCAGGGTGCCTCCAGTCTGCATAGAAGAAGTTCTCAAACAGCAGGTGTACTGGAAAGGCGTTTGCACCTGACTCAATGCCTGTAACAGCGCTTTGATCCTTCAATTGCAGAGTGAAATGCACTGCATCAACAAGGTATGAAACAACCTTGTATATCTGAGTCAACTGTGGAAGATTGTGGTAATCCAAAAATTGGGTTTGCTTTAAAAGGGTATAATGTTGTATAAAGAAATGGGCACAGTTTGCTTCATATATTATATGGTAGTCTGAGGGTATATTGATGTTTTAATAGTGCAGTTAGAATCGTTATGTTTTCTTGGGTACACGTGGAAAGGGAGATATAAAGTGCCTTCAAATTGACTTTATTGATCTGCAGTCTGAACACTACACAGAATTTCTGTAAAATATGGGGAATGAGGTTAGGTAAACACAAAACTAGATTTTTGATCCCAGGGAGGATGCCACATACATACAATGTTAATTTGTAGTGATGTCATGCTACCTGTCAGGGCAGGGCTGTAAAAACGGACAGGCAGGCCTAGTGACAGGGTAACGCACTGACTGACGACAATCACCACCAACAGACCGAAGTCCCTCAGGATGCGGAGTCTAAGTCCAAGGCTGCCCTTCACCAGGGCCCCTGATGGTGGGGATGGACTTAACGCAGCCAGGAACCAGGTCGCGGCCCCCGAGACTCCCCGGCTGCGGTAATGGCCGTCGCCAATGGCGTGTAGCTGGTAGGAAATAACAATAGCGTAGTCAGGCAGGCCGGGTCGACAACAACGGGACAAAAACGGTACAAAACAGTAGACAAGAATCACAGGTCACGGGCCGGGTTCAGCAACGGAAGATCAGATCAAAGGAAAGCGCAGAGAAGGGTCTAGTCACAAGCCGAGTCAGATACCAGAAGAGTCACGAGAGTATACACAGAGCTGTAGCAACACAAAGAAACAAGTCACAAGTGCAAAGAGCATGTGCGGATCACAGGCTTATATGTACTCAGCCACACCCCTCTGGGAGATGGACCTCAGAGACCTGAAGGCATAAAAAGACTCTCACCATGCTCTGCAGAAACCCAAGATGGACGCCAGTACATGAAGCCGCACAGTCTCTGGAAAAGGTAGGACCTTGACACTACCTCCACCCCAGTAAAATCTTTGTTGTTGCTAATATAGTGAGCTAAAAGCTTAATGGCCAGAACAAAGAGAAGCATGGACAAACTCCAGTCTTGCCTGATACCTCTAGCTATTGGAAGGTTGCCCATTGTATTTTATGAAGGTCGATGGATGTAGAACACTTTGACCCAGGTGACAAGCCTGTGTCTAAACCCCCAGTGATTCACAAAATGGAGTCAATTGCCATTCTGCTGTCAAATGATAAAAGCATAACAGAAAGAGATCTTTATTTGACTATGAACCAATTAGAGAATCCTTCTGATATTGTCTCTGGCTTTATGCCACATGAAAAAAAGCTGTTTGAAAAGGTATTGAATCTGGTAGCAATTATATTTACAAATAATTTTATATCAATATTAATCAGTGATACAAGGTAATAGAGCAAGTAGTATTGTCAGAATAGGAACATACTTGTGGCAGCTGTAAGTGGCTCAATACCAAAGCTTTTCTTATTTGAATGCTATTATAAGTTTGAGTCAGGTAAGGGCTATAAAGGTTAGAAAATGTTTTATAGTCGTTGGCAGTAAAGCCATCTGGATCTGGTCTTTTTCATGCTTTAAAGAATTTAATAGTGGAACATCAGAAGGAATGACTTCCTCCTCTATTAGGATCCAAAATGATTGGGGAATGTTTCCTGTTTAACTGTGTTTGATAAAGTTTAGCTAGGTTAGTTTGTATTGTATGAAGAAAGGATTTAGGAATACTAGTCAGTATGTCATCCTCAGTCTTGATCCTAATTTGTTTGAAGGAATGCCCTGGGTCACACAAATAGCCTGGAGTGTATCTGCTTTAATACCCTTTATATAGAATTTATGCTGGATCCATTTTATGAATGGGTGAGGCATGAATTAAGGTCAGCTTTAGCACAGAACAAGGCTGCCCTGTTTGTGGGTTAGAGATCAAATTTAGATTTGTTGACACAAGCCTTATAATTTTTTGTTCTTCAAATTGAGTCATGGAGTCTTGCACCATGTCTTTTACAGGATGTATGGTAGTAGAAATAGTGGGCACCATCTTAGCAGCTACTCAGGCTAAGGCTTACTGGATAGTTTTCAAACCAAGTCTGTGCATTTGTGGGGCTAGGGCTTTGGTGTGCAAAGACCACGTCATGGCAGATTAAAAATGGGATGGGTTGCCAGGATGGCATCAATGGTCTATGGTGAGTCAGAGGTCCCCTAGAAAGCAGCCTCAGTGGGCTTTATGCATGCCTCTCCCTCCCCCCTCATGGAAGGTGTACTTTAATTTTCTAATAATGGTCATGCCCTCTCCATTCAATCACTAGCCAATCTAATATAATTCAGTTATTCAGGGGTGATGAAATATTCAGTTACTTTACAACTGTATCTACTCATGTATTTCTCCCTCATAGAATTTGGAAGTTAAGCAAAACATAGTCAGGTTGGACAATTCAACCATTAAATGAAAAACCAGCATTCTTCCCTGAAAAATACCTTCACTTTTTATAATTTGCACTTTCTTTTTCTTCAGGCGCTTTAGCATGCCTCTCAAGTCCGTGACACCATGTTGAAAGGCAATTTTTTCATACTCGCTTGGCTTAGCATTTTTCAATATTTCCCAGACATGAGGAGGAATATTATCCATAGGATCCTCATCTCCTTTTTTCTTTTGTTGTTTTTCTGCTTGTTCTTTCTTTTCCCTCTCTCTGCAATGAGTGAAAGTAAACCGATATTAATAACTGAGGTGGATCCAGCAATGGTGGCTACTACCTTTAACATGCAAATATTACTTGCTTCAAAATTATGTTTGATTTCTATGTGCTGGTAGTTTTGAGTGTCAGGTATTACAGAAGCCTTAAAGGCATTCCCTACCAATGTATGCAGGTGGAAGATCGGGAGGAATGTTTTCTTTCCCATGCAAATGCAGATATCTCCTAAGAAACATGACTACTCCAACAGCTTCCCTCATTAGATAAGTCTTCTTGTGACTACATAAAGCTTCATAAACCTTTTGGTATTTAGTTCCATTGTTAACATAAATATGAGCTGCATTTACAACTTGGTGAAAAAACTTCAGGAGTCATTGCTATTACTGTAAGAATCACAAAATGATCTGGAGGCACTGATGATACAGGAAGCAGAAATTGGTCTTCAAGCCCATGTTTAGTGTTCTTGATTATCACCCTTCTTTTGAGTTCTTGCTGTCTCAAATTCCTGGGATACATACTTTTCAATGCAGCCGTTTCTGCATGGTGGGTGTCATTCTTTGCCCATGAATGATGCAAATCAGTGCCAAAATATTTACAATAGAAGGGAAATGTCGACCTCTATGTTTTGGTGATAGTTATATGTTTGGGGTTAACTAGGCTAAAACGTTAAGGGTTGATGGATAATTAGGCTAAAGGTCAGGGGTGAGGGAGGTAATTTCAAGGGTTAAGGTCAGGAGATTTTTTTTTGCTGTGTATTATTTCTTGTGAATTACTTTAAAATCTTTTAGACATTAACAAAATAGTAAAGAAAAGCAAACTTGGAGCAATTGTTTTCTTTATCACAGAAACTGTTCATCAAGGATTTTGAGCTATCAAAGGCAGAACCTACACACTTGTAGGGCATGACAAATTGACAAATAAATGACATATCAACTGTTTTGGGAAAGGTTCTGATATAATATTCATACTGAAAAAAAATATACAGAATACCAATTCCCATTAAAGTAAACATACCATATGCGCATGAAAGGCATATGGTATGCGCCTTCAAGTGGGAAGAAGGTTTTTTTTTAAATTTAAGAGACATGCAGGGGCTTCTATTGCTGATAAATAACAAAAATGCAAATTCCTGGGCTATCAATTGGAACCTCTGACTTCAATACTTTACTGATCCTGAAAAGTTGTGCTTATCAGAAATTCTGACTTAAAGAATATATAAACCCAACATTTCATATTCTTGATCTGTGTCTGCTGTACCATGCACTTGTAAGAAAACGTATCTTGTTCTCTTTGCATTGCTTCCTTTGCATGAAATCCCTGGTGTTCCCTCTGCTTTCCCATTAAAAACTGACCACATTAGGCAGCAGAACAAAATGTGGTCAGTTCTCTAGCTGTGCTAGGAAATTAGCCTGCTCTCCTCCAATGATCAGACTTGTAGGTACACACACCCCTCCCTCTGCACAGCCTTTCATGGGTACATTCAGCGTGCTTCTGTTTATCCTCCCCCAGCTCTTCTGCAGATGAGAACAGAGGCTATGTGATCACTTATGCAAAAAGTAAAAAAGTTATTTATAAAGATATATACAGTATATATATCCTTAAATGTGGTGACTGCGTTTGTTTTTTTATTTGCACTGTTTTTCTTCTATTTTCACTTGTTGATCTGGCCATTAAAAAACTTATTGTCCCAATTCTAGATAAAGGAGTAAAGGAGGTATCTTTGGAAGCACAATGTTCAATCTGGAAAGAGGGTAGTGTGAGGTGCACTAGCAAATTTAGATGGACTTGATACACAAATTAAAGCAAAGCTCCAGCTAACACTCTTTAAGTAGTTACAGCAAGTTTTTTTTCCATTTGGGATAAAGATTTTACATAAATAAATAAAAGCTGATCATTGTAAGAACCCCTAATGTTACATGATTTGTCTCAACCCTATAACTGCCACTTTTGATGGACAGCTTGGTCTTTTAAAGGAAGTCAAAATATAAAACTTACCAGCCAGAACAACAGTTGAAAATATTGGAAAAGGAAAAAAAAAACCTAAAAGAAGAAAACTAAAGCGGCGCCACATCTAAAAATTGGTAAGCTACAATTTAATACATTTTTGGTTTTGGTTTTAATGATACTTTAATAATATAACAATATTTAATATTATACTGTATATCCCAAAGCACATATAAAACACCAATCAGCAACACATTTGTGAACAGTTAAAATGATGTTAAAATACATATTTCTAAATATTTGTCAGTTTGCACCCAGAAGAAGTTTATTACGTTTTTTTGAGGAGGGCACTGAAATCAAGTTCCCCAGCATCATCTCTTCTTTTTCCCTCTGCACTGGTTCTAAATGCAAAAACAAAGAATCATTAGCCATTTTTACAGTTCTAGATTTAAATATTCCCATCATGCACGATTAGCAACTCTGCATACTCGAAGTAAGCTCCCGGTAAGCTTGAAAATATGTTGTATTATATTATTCCTGATGACCACATATTCTGGACAACTACACAGAAAGTGAGAAGAAGAGGCTGATTTACTAAAGGGTTTGAGAATGTTCACACAACAAAATCTGTGAAGGTTTGTTTCTGTTCTATATTCATTAGTGATGAGCTGAACGTACCTGGGTTAGGTTTGGGGCAGGTTTGCAGAACATTACTAAAGTTTGGGTGCAGGATCCAAACCCCACTGAAATCAATGGTATTATAAAATCATAATGGCCCTTTTTTAGGCTAAAAGGCAAGGGATTGTCAAATGAATGGCATGGGGGACTGGGCAACCTGGGGGACATCAAGAAAACTTTGATGGGGAGTAGTGATTTTAGTAATGTTTAAAGTGAAACATAAAAGTGCAAATTTTAAATAACATGGTTGGGAGATGTCCTGACTCCATGTAAAATGGCATACCTGTGTGATGTACAGTTGTGTTCAAAATAATAGCAGTCAGACATCAATAACCTGATCAATCACTGTTTTTGGTAGAAATGATATTTCTACATGGCAAATAATTTACTAGCAGGTGTAGTAGAGTAATAGAAATCCAACAGACCCAACAGTTATGACATGCATGCTGCTGATTCTGTGTCATTGAATCACTAATTGAAAGGGGCATGTTCAAAATAATAGCAGTGTGGAGTTCTATTAGTAAGGTCAGTCATTCTTTGAAAAACAGGTGGACATTATTGCCCTTATTTAAGGAAGGAAGGCAGCAAATGTTGTACATGCTGGTTACAGTGCATTTCTCTCTGAAATTCTGAGGAAAATGGGTTGTTCCAGACATTGTTCGGAAGAACAGCGTACCTTGATTAAAAAGTTGATTGGAGAGGGGAAAACATATAAAGAAGTGCAGAAAATGATAGGCTGCTCAGCTAAAATGATCTCAAATGCTTTAAAATGGCAACCAAAACCTGAAAGACGTGGAAGAAAGTGAAAAACTACCATTCGAATGGATAGAACAATAGCCAAAATGGCAAAGACTCAGCCAACAATCAGCTCCAGGAAGATCAAAGAAGGTGTAAAGTTACCTGTGAGTACTGTTACAATTAGAAGACGCCTATGTGAGGCCAAGCTATCTGCAAGAAGCCCCCGCAAAGTCCCACTGTTGAAAAAAAGACGTGCTGAAGAGGTTACAATTTGCCAAAGAGCACATTGACTGGCCTAAAGAGAAATGGCGCAACATTTTGTGGACTGATGAAAGTAAGATTGTTCTTTTTGGGTCTAGTGGCCGGAGACAGTTTGTCAGACGACCCCAAACACTGAATTCAAGCCACAGTACGCTGTGAAGACAGTGAAGCATGGTTGCGCAAGCATCATGATATGGGGATGTTTCTCATACTACGGTGTTGGGCCTATTTATCGCATACCAGGGATCATGGATCAGTTTGAATACATCAGAATACTTGAAGAGGTCATGCTGCCTTATGCTGAAGAGGAAATGCCCTTGAAATGGGTGTTCCAACAAGACAACGACCCCAAACACCAGTAAACGTGCAACATCTTGGTTCCAGACCAACAAGATTGACGTTATGGAGTGGCCAGCCCAATCCCCGGATCTTAATCCAATAGAAAACTTGTGGGGTGACATAAAAAATGCAGTTTTTGAGGCAAAACAAAGAAATAGAGAAGAACTATGGAATGTAGTCCATTCATCCTGGGCTGGAATACCTGTTCACAGGTGCCAGAAGTTGGTTGACTTCATGCAACACAGATGTACAGCAGTTCTCAGAAACAGTGCTTATACAACTAAATATTAATTAAGTGATTCAAAGGAAAGCAAAATCTTCAAACATTTTTTAGTTTATATAGTGAATGTTTGAGTTTGTAAAGAAGAATACAAACACTGCTTTTTTTTTTTTTTAACAGTCTAATATTCACTTTTCTTCAATTTTTTTAAAGGAACAACACAAATTTGATATATTTTTCTTCATGTTTTGATTTGGAATAGAATGTGTAGTATTCCCAATGCATTTGTGTGTATGGAAATAAAGGCTATTAGAAGGATTTTCAGCTTTATTCACTTTATTAAACACACTGCTATTATTTTGAACACAACTGTATATAACCTATTGTTCCTAATACAGCAAAACTGATATTTAGGCCCATTTCACACGGGTCGGAATCCGCTTGTTCATCAGAGGATCTGTCTGCTGATCCCCTGCTTAGCAGAGTAGAGTAGGCGGATGAGAGGTCCGTGTCCACTCCAATTATGTAGAGAGGACATGGACATAGCCCGCTGTGCTCTATGGGCAGTTGCATGTAAACTGACCAGCTGTCCCTTTACGGAGGGGAACGGATCTCCTGCCCTTTGTTTTAGTGGATCAGACAGAACTGAATGTAGGTGGGTGTAAACGGACACAAGTCTGTTTACATCTGCCGCTTCATAGAGGAGAATGGAAGATGCTATCTGGTCCACCTGAAAAATGGATAGGTGGACCAGATCAGGCTGCTAGTGTAAACAGATCCTTACAAAGGAAAAAGTGTGTTTAACCAGTTCTCGCCATGCCTATATTTATTTCAGGTACTTATATAGCGCCGTCAATTTACGCAGCATTTTACATATATATATATTGTACATTCACATCAGTCCCTAACCCTCAAAGGGCGTACAATCTAAGATCCCTAAGTCACATTCATGCATACACATACTAGGGCTAATTTAGACAGGAGCCAATTAACCTACCAGCATGTATTTGTATTTACCCGGAGAAAACCCACGCAGGCACAGGGAGAACATGCAAACTCCAGGCAGGAGGTTCCGTGGTTGGGATTCGAACCAACGACCCTAGTACTGCCAGGCGGAAGTGCTATAGTAAAATGACGGCCAAGTGGGACTTCCGTCGATCATTTGATCACCGCCTCATGTGCCCAAGGGGACGTGCTGCAGCAAGATCTGTCACCGGCTGTGTCCATCGAACACAGGCGATAACTGATCTGTGTGCCAGCCCGTTGCTGGTATTATGTGACTGATGTGACCGATCACAGCAGGTCACATGATAAGTGTAAACAATGAATGGTTTCCTTTCATGCCATCCATGGTATACAATTATGTTGATAGTTGTGATTGGTCACAGCGATCACATAGTACAAACTGGGTCAATCACAGCCCATCTGTGCCATGTGATTAGCTGTGGCTAATCACAGCTAATCACAACAAAACAAACTGAATAAATCGATTTTAGTTGGTAAAATGCTTGCTTATAACAATGAAATTGGTTGCTATAAGCAATCATAATGTGTAAAAAAAAAAAAATACTGAACACTTCCCCAGAGTAGTGCAATGTTACTATGGTAACATTATATTACTCTGGTCACTCTGGTTACTCTGTGTTTTAAAAAATAAAATAATAAAAAAAAAAAGTAATTAAAAAAAAAAAAATGTCAGTCAGTACCTTTGATCACCACCACACCAGTTATATGATGACATTGTACTGCACTGGTGACAGTATGTAAAAAAAAACAAATTCCAGATAAATATGACAAAAAATCACAACTTCAAAAAGCTTGCTGTGCCTCAGACTGTCTACTTTCCAAAAATAGGTAATTTGGGGGATATCTGTGTTGTCCTGACATTTTGGGCCTCACGAAATGAGATGGGCCGTCAGTACATCAGGATAGATCGATTTTCAGATATATATAATCATAGTTTGTGGACTCAATAACTTTTCTACAGACTAAACAATATACACTGATTTGGGTTATTTTCACCAAAGAAATGTAGCAGTATATAATGTGGCCTAAATTTATGAAGAACAATTATTTATTTGCAAAACTGTATAACCGAAATTAAGATTCTTTTGTTTTTCAAAACTTTCTATATTTTTTAATTTTTTTTGCATAAAACATAAAACCCAGAGGTGATTAATTACCACCAAAAGAAAGCTCTAGTTGTGTGAACAATATTATAAAAAATGTAGTTTTGGTACAATGTTGATTGACCACACAGTTGTCATTCAAAGTGTGAGAGCGCTGAAAGCTGGCCTGGTCAGGAAGGGGGTAAAAGTGCCTGGTAGTGAAGTGGTTAAATTGCAGGCAAAATGACAGCTCCTAGCTGCTTTTTCCTGATTGTAAACAAAGCTGCAGGGACTTGTCAAAAACCGCACTATGTACCCCTAACTCATTACTAGTATAGTGGCTGTACTCAATCAATATATTGATCATGAACAGAACTATACTAGTATTCCTCTTTGTATAGTGTCCCAAAAAAATGCAGCGTTAGCAGGATCAGCCTCAATACTTGCCAGTACTTGTGTTTAGCTCTGCCGCCCCCCCCCCCCCCCCCCCCCAAAAAAAAAGTGCCGTGTCAGGTAGACCACTGCCACCTCTGATACATTGTACACAAAACCACATGGTTAGAAAGATCAGGCCTGATCTCTACTAGCAGGTAAATTTTAATTCTAGCAGTTCAAGCAGTCCCTGACAGCCAGGAGCTTTTGTGTTCCTGTGAGTCACACAAGGTACTTGTAAATTTAGTTCCCAAAATGTCCCAAAAATGTACACTAGTGAAGACGCCTACAGGATTCTGAGTATGACAGATGAGAGCAAAAGGGAAGCCTCACGGTCAGAATCAGACTCAGAATACTAACCAGTAGAAAGCAGCGGACCCTGACAGGAAGCTCAGACAATGGAGAAGAGGTCCCTGGTAAGATCAGGCATACCTGACCCCAGGTAGCTGTGGTGCTAGGGAAGCATGACATTTCTCATATGCAGCAGGATTCAAGTACTAGTGTTACACTATCTTTTGGTGGACTGGCAAGCACCAGCGGCCTAGTACATCCTGGCATTTTACACACCAGCACTGCAGTATCTCCTGGTGACGTCACAAGTCTGAGACG